TGATTGTCACTTGAGGTTGGGATAGCTACACCCCTACTCTTGTTTTGGCATACCTGAGGTGCTACTGTGCTGTTACAGCAAAAAGGATTTTTGGTAAAAGAGAGCTCAAAAATTAATATTCCGTGTAACCACACAAACCCTGTGCATGGTGGAGCTAAGCATGGAGTGATTATAGCTCTGATTCCAGAGCTACCTACAACTGCCTGACGCTTCTCAGTGCTGCTGAAGGTGATGACAGCCTGACTGGAGGGGTTGTGTGTTGGGGACCCCCCTGAACTATGTGAGTTGGCACACTGATGTTGCTGATTAGTTGCTGTGTGCAACCATTGATGCTAGACACCAAGGTGGTCTGTGCTCTTGGTGGGATCATAAGAGCAGATCTATCTCTGACAGTTTCTTTGTAGTAGCAAAATCTCACAGTTGAACTCTGGAAAAAGCATTTATTGGTGGGACAGGTCTGTCTGTTAGCAACCCCTTGTCTTTGTATTTTGGGGTGAACTCTCTCTTTTATAAAGGCCTTTATAAAGCTAAAACAAGCTTAAGAGTCTTTATAAAGGCCTTAAAATTACTTTTAAAAGCTCAGAATCATAAGTCTGATGCTAATAATGCGTCCATCAGGAACAGGGTTGATTTTATTGATGTGAAAAATAGGCATCTAAGATAAAGCTACCTGTGAACAGAGGATTTGATTTTTAAAGCTTGGCAAATGGAGAAAAATATCAAAACCACGAAGGCTTTGCTCTTTAAATGAAAGAAGGGAAGAGGCGATGTGCTTTCTGTCACACAAAGGAATGCAACTCCAGCATGTTGAAGAAGAACCCTGACCCTGCCCTTTGTGTTTCCCAGTCCAGGCTGGGGTTGCTATTAGACAAATGTTGAGCCTGTGGCCCTGCGGTGACCCCATGCTGTCCCTCTGGAGACCCCAGTGAGAGGGCCCAAGATCAGCCAGGCAGTGCAGGGCTGCCAGAGAAGGGCTGCCTTCAGCTCTCACGGGCAGAGCTGCCGGCACCAACAATGGGCCCACTGATGGGGCTCCTGCAAGTGGTGCCTCATCATTGGCCGTCATCATCCGATCTGCATTAATGAGATTATTAGAATATAATGTTCTTACTCCTGCATGCCAGAGGCATGAAATGGGATATGCTTTCTGCTTCTCTCCTTTCTGCTCCTCGCGTGGGAAGAGCGCGGGGGAGGGCAGGAGAAATGGTTTTATCCCTGCTTTCCATGTTTTCTTGCTCCTTGGCTAACAGGACAGCTGGCATAGTGCAGCTTGCTTTGGCCATAAAGTGTGTGCTGGGACCTGTTCTAGTCCCCCAGCCCTGACAGCTTGTAGTGGAGTAGCTGAGTGTAACTATGGGGCTGGATAAGAGCAAGTAAGACCAGCAAAGGTGCAAAACAGAAGCAAATCCTGGTAGCATCAAATGAGTCCAGGGGAAAGAATGTGTTCAGAGGTGAGGGGAGTAGCCTGAGAAGCTGTTTCGTTTTGTTGTGTCAATATAGACCAGTTGATAACTGAGTGATGACTCCTGTTATTTAGTATTACTGCATGGGCTATAAACAAAGGCCTTGCTTTGCCACACCAGTTTCTCCATAGCCCTGCGTGGCAGTCGTGTGGTCGACAGCAATGATTTCTCATCTGCCTTATCAAGGAAATTTCCAACTTCCCAGCAGAAAGCGCTGACTTTCATCAGCTTCGCTTTGGTAGAATTGATAGAGAAGGCAGAACCAGTTGTGGGCAGTGGCTGGTACAGGAGGAGCACAGTGCAGACACAGGGGGTGCGAGCCCAGGGGGCCTCACGTCCAGTTCAGCTGGGTGGTTTACTGAGTAGAGTGCAACTTTTAGGCCCACCTTATAATTTTTGATACCTCCTTTTTGGGTCACACAGCTTAAGGCAGCTGGATTTGAGCCAGCGGCAGGACCCCTCTCGCACTGGCTGACTTTGCCAAGTGAGACCATTCTTTGTTGCTTTTGAATAGAAAACCCCTGTGCTTGGAAACCCTCTGCCATTGCTCTCTTTGCGGCAGTGTTCCCTTGGACAAACTATACCTTTGGGCTTGTTGGGTAGGGGTTACTGGGTACCTCAGAAAGAACAGGTCTGAGAAAGCTTTTCTTTAAGGGGTACTTTGCAATTTGCACATAGCCATGTGAATTCATTAGCTTTTCTTTCAAGATGAAATTTTTCTTCTAGATTTAATAGTAACCCAGCCAGCCTTACTCATCAGGGTGAAACCCTGCCTCCTCTGCCTCAGTGAGAGATAAGACATTGGTTTAAAAAGGGGCCTGATTTCTCTCTGGAGCCTGTGCTTTAGCAGCTGAAGTGGCAAAAATCTTATAAAGCCACTTCCCCCCCCCCCCCCCAGCATTTGCTCTTTCAAGGGGTGAGAATCCAGTTCCCTGCCAGCACTGCCCCAGGTTAGCACAGCTCTACTGTCAGAGCCCTTGCCCTCCCAGCCCTCTCTTTGCTGTATCGTTCTGTCCGTCCCCCCGCGGCAGGAAAATCATTAATCTCCCATTGTTCCCCTGCCCTTTCTCAGACTGCCTACAGCGGGGAAAAACTAACGAGAAACAGCGCAGAAGTTTTCCACCTGCCTGACGACTGATTCTCCATCCAGAGCTTGCAAATGAGCGCTTGCGGGTTTATGGCGCTCCGCACGAAGCAGCTTTCAAAGGTTCTCGCCCGTTTTGGGGCGGCCGGGGCGGTGTGAGCCGGCATTGCCCCATCTGCTGTTGGTCTCGACGAGCCGCAACAAACCTCGCACTTACCACACACCTGACACAGAGGTTGTGACCGAGCCAGACAGCGCTGGGTACAGTCCACCCAGGGGTTGTTTAGGGATAGAAAGGGTTTCCCTCCTCTGGTCCAGACCAGTTTTGACCTTAAAAGAAAAGGTTTGCCCTGCCCTGTGCGAGACGGGACAGGGCGCTCCGCTCGCCGCCCGCGGTGCCCGCAGCGATGCCGGAGCACAGCCCCGCTGTCATCGCCTGACGGACACCCGGCAAACCCAGGGGACAGCTTGCCCCTACCCTGGGCAGAGGGGCTGACAGAAAGGAGCGTGGTGGCTGAAAGGTAAACCCCAGTTATATCTCCTCCAAAGCAGCTTACAGCCCTGGCATCTACCCTGCCCGTCCACCAGTGCCTTTTAATGCGTTTTAATGCGGTGCGATACTGCTGGGAAACAGCGGCTGGGGGAATGTGGGTGATTTCTCAATTAACTGGTCTTCTGCCAAAGCCAAAACTTGGGAATGGGGGCTGGCGGCGGGCGGGAGGTGGCGTTGGTAGAGGCATGGCCGGCAGCAAGTACTTTGGGGCAAGTCTCTTGCATCTGTAGGAGTGGATGAGGGGCGAACACTCTGCCTTCCTCGGAAGGGTTTCCTGGCTGGAAAGAGGTTTCTCTTTTTCCTTCCCACCTCCTCCCCTCATTCCAAATCAAGATGAAAGTAAGCTTTTGGGGTTTTCATTGACTGATTACCAAGGAAAATTAGAACCCTGGGTTTTGATGGTTGGAAGCATTTTAACTAAGATATTTCTAAATAACCCATTTCAGTTTTGTTCTTTTAATTCTAAGAGTGTAACATTTTTTTAATGGAAGCTAACCACAGGTTTAGAAATACAAACTGCTTTAAATTATTGTTTCTTCACATTTTTCAGTCTCGAGAAATTAGGACAGGATATTTCTGATGATCTTTTAAACATTTTGAAAATCACATTTACTTAATTGCATGAGTAGTGGGAGACTCTTGTAGCTTTTGTCTCTTTTTCCTGTGAAAAATACAGTTTGCTGAAAAATGTCCAAACAGTTTAAAATTTATATCCTCACTCAACTTACTGGAGCTGGCACATGATATTTTCTTTCATCAAGCTACCAGTTGTCATCTATTGTATTTTCAACATCTTAAATCTTTGAGTGAATGGGTACAGAGAGTAAGACAAGGAAAACTCACAGGACAATTGAGTAAATACAAACTTGTGACTATGGTGCTGCTATTAAACAAGCCTTTAATATCTTGCAAAATTTTTCTTTCGTATTTAAGATAAATCTGTCATATACTATAAAGACAATTCATAGAATCCACAGGTTTGGTTTTTTTTAAAGGCTGAAAGACAAGGTTTATGGAGAGAGAAGGGGTTAAATACAATTGACTTCCCATCTCTGTGAACAAATAGAAGTGAGGTTGTAAAGGGATTTTGTTTTCTATTTATAAAATGTAGACTTGCTACAAAATTAGATGCATGCAAGAAGTGTATCTACTTGCATGTTTTTCTCTGAGAAAGGATAATTACTGTGTTTGTGCATGCTAATCAGTTAATTTTGTGTGAGAACAACCAAAGGCAGTTTGTATGTTCAGGTTACTCAAGCATAGAGATGAGAGGAACTTTTGTTAATACATGTTATTTCATGTATCTTATTTTGAAAACAGTCTTTTATGGGGTGAAAATGATTTTGAAATCTCAAAGGTTGTTTTAATTTAAATAAAATAGTCTGCTCTTCTCACGCCCATATAACGTGCTCCAGCCGTGTTTGCAATGCTGTGTTCACACTACCAGTGAAAGTGATAAAAACCAGTCAGACCTCTTTCACTTGTCTAATTGCAAGGTGAAATTAGTGATTTTTAAAATTTTTTTTTGTCTTTGTGTTTAAGGCGAAGAGAATTGAGTCCTTTACAAGCTCAGCATCCAAAACCCAACTAAAGCACCTGAGTGCAGTGGTCTGAAGGATCTTAAGTCCAGCAGAGGACAGGGTGGGTATTTGCTCATCACCTCTCATAGGGTGACTGAATAGGACTATGGTGACCTGAATAGGTCACCATAGGACTGGTGACTCCCCTCTTTCCCTGTGGTACACACATACTTTAGCACCTATCACTGCTCTGGTGGGATGAAGCTTCATGTGGGTTCAAGGAGGCTCTTAGGAGGTGAAGAAACCCTTTAGAAGGACATGATGGACAGCACTAGGTTATCTCCCAGCACTTTGACTCAGTGATTTCAATGTTCCTGCAGTGCCTGGCACCTTCTGGCACCTCCCTGGGCAAGGAACACTGTGCTGCTGCCACAAGGACTCCCACGGACATCCAGGTCAGAGGAGAGCAGCCAAAATGGCCTCGGTCTTCCGGAGTGAGGAGATGAGCCTGATGCAGCTCTTCCTTCAGGTGGAGGCTGCCTACTGCTGTGTGGCTGAGCTTGGGGAGCTGGGTCTGGTCCAGTTCAGAGATGTGAGTAGTGCCTGGATGGCATGTTGAGCTGTGCAAGATGTGCTCTGTGGTGTGCTTGTCCTTCCCTCGAAGCACTTGGGAGAGGTGCATCTGGGGGGTGGTCAAAAAGTCCATGTTGCGAGTGGGACTTCCCCAAGGCTGATCTGAAAAGCAACCATCATGCTGAGAACCACCCCATCCTCAAGTCCTTCCCCCTCCATCCAGTGCTCTGCATGCCCTCTGCACAACCGTAGAACAATTCCTTCCATCACCAGAAAACAGGGGCTCTCTTGATGAGAGTCCCTCTGTGACTCCTGCTGTCACAGCAAGGTTGTGTGGCAATGAACCTAGTGTAAGGCCACCATGGCCCTGGACTTCAGGAAGCCCATGGTGTCACCCTGCCACTAGGAGCCTCTCAGATGCAGTGGTGTTTGCCATCTGCACCAAAGGCATTCATTCTCTGCTGATGTCAAAAATGAGCGCAGCAGTGTGCAGCCTTCAGCCCCAGGCTTATTTTCCCTCCTGTTTTTAGCTGAATGTGAATGTCAACAGCTTCCAGAGAAAGTTTGTGAATGAAGTGAGAAGGTGCGAATCCTTGGAGAGGATCCTGCGTAAGTAAATGCTTGTCAAATGCAGTCGGCTTCCTGCCAACTGGTGGTGTGGGATTTATTTCTTTAAGTGCTCTCGCACTGGGGAGCAGAATTAGTGGCAAAATGGTGATGTTTTCATCTGAGCCCCTGGAAATGTTTTCCCTGCGTCAGCTAATTATCACTTCACCCCATATGGGCAATAAATTATTGCCCCTGTTTTGAAAGTGGTTAACTGAACTGAAAGGAGGTTAATTAGCTTTTATAAAATCACAAGATAAATTTGGGGCTGGGCAGGATGCTAATCCAAATAACCTTGTTCTTACACCACTGCACCAGCTGTTGGCACACACACTTCTTGCGGCCAAGGGCTTTGGCCTGGGGAGAAGTCCTTAAAACCCCAGCAGGAGAGCTCATGATGCCTGTTGTCCAGTGGATATGTGTCCTGGCAGCTCTGCACCCTCCCCACCACAGCGCTGGTGCCCACTGTAGCCATGGTGACACCACTTGTCATTGTTGGAGCAAAGGAGAGAAACCTGAGCTTTCTGTGTGCCTTACTCACTGCCCCAAATAGAGGGGGCCATGCTACTAGTGTCAGGGCTGAGGGCTGTCCAGGTGGGAGTGGGCACCACGACTTCAGAAGAAACAACCTCTTCACTGTTAAAGGAGGCTGCTGGGTGTAATTACTTGCTGGCTGTGTGTATGCACTGCAGTGATGTACATCACTGCCTCTTGTCACACCTCCGTGGGGCACCTCGGTCCTGGCTGAGCAACAAGCTGGTGACCAGGATGATGTAGGAGGGATGGCTCTGTATTGAGACTTCTGCGTCCTTTCCTTGCAGGTTTTCTAGAAAATGAGATGGAAGACAGCGTTGAGATAGTCAAACGAGAAAAGTACCCAGAGACCCCCCTGCCTCGGGAGATGATTGATATGGAGGTACAGAATTTGCAGTGGGACAAGGAGAGAAGGGGTGGTGCACAGGGATGTCTGTGTGATGTGCTCAGTAGAGCCCTGCCTTGCAAGGAAGGATCTGGTATCTGAGGCTGGCACAGCTCTCCCTGCCTGTGGAGGTTTTCCCCAAGCTGCTGTCTCAGCTGTTAGGTTAAGGCTGGTCCTACTGCCATGTTCCTAAAGGAACCCACTCTTTTCTCCATTCCCTGTGAAACAACCCTCTTGTCCCACATATTAATGGAAAAGTATCACTCTCACAGAATGCCCCCATCATCCTGTAGGAAAGAATAAGAACGGTTTGGGTATTTTACCAGCAGAGCTGATGTTAGAACCAGCTTCACAGAATAAAAAACCCAGGGCTGTCTCTCCTGGTGGGAATATGGTAATCTGGTATGGTGGGAATATAGTAATGCTGGGGCCTGACACAAATATCTGCGCCTTGCATTTGGATGTGCAAGGGATGCTTTATTCTAGCCCAGCTGGAATTTAGGTTTACTGACAGGGTAATTTAAAAATGCTGCGCAGCTGGGTGACTAGGAAGAAAAATCATGTTTACCAAGAGCTTCAGCTTCACAAGCAAGATGGTTTCCTACTGTGTTCTTTTGCCCACACCCTCCCCTAACTTTTGGCCTGTAGATTGACATCCAGTCAGCCTGGGGTCTGAGATGTCCTGTGAGGAACCACAGAGATACCAAGACAGGCTGAGGCACTTTAATGACACACACACTTACTTGCCTGTGCTTGGGTCAGATGCATCAGAACTCCAATGTCAGAAGGGGACAACACACCAGTAGGGAATGTTGGCAGTGGAAGTCTAATGTATTAGCCTTGATGAATATCTTCCTACAAAAAGGGTTTATCAAAGTGCTCACTGAATATTTCTGCACTCTCCCCTGGAAAAAAATATTTTGTTTGCTATTTGATATCAGCTTGATAAAGGGACATTGGTCTGCTTCAGAGTTTTCCTGAATGTGCTTGGACCCTAAACAGACAGTGCTGGAAAAACTAGAAGCCGAGCTTCTGGAAGCCAACCAGAACCAGCAAACACTGAAGCAGAACTTCCTTGAACTGACAGAGCTCAAACATCTGCTGAAGAAAACCCAGGACTTCTTTGAGGTGAGAGGCCTCTTTGTTTTTCCAGCAGAGATGTGGAAGGTTCCTAAAAGTACTGACACTTTCATTTGATGTATGTTGCTGTTATTAATTTTCAATCAAAAGCCAGTAAGATACGTTTGCAAAAGCACCTCAGTCACTTTGGAGCCTGCATTGTTCTGTAAGTCAATGGGGTTTAAGAACTTGGCTCCCAGATCTCTTTGAAAATGGCATTTATGCTTTTTGGTTGCTAAGATATAATTTACTTTTATTGTTTTTCCTTTGGTCTAATTCTCTGCGGAAAGATACCTTTAGGGGAAAAAATGTCAGGAGAAAAATGTGAATATAGTTTTCAAACTGGCAATACTGAATAGTGTTTTTTAAAACTAATGTTTTCCAGGCAGAAACCAATCTGCCGGATGATTTCTTCAGTGAGGACACATCTGGACTGCTGGAGCTGAGAAGCACTCCTGCTGCTGCAGCTGCCAAGCTGGGGTGTGTATTGGTGATGGCCCACAGCTCAGCCAGACTTCCCACCTGTGCTGCGTTGCTGTGCCACTGGCACAGTTTCCTTCAGCTTCTTAGCAGAGGTTGCTCAGCAGCCTCCTCAGTGTAGCTGTTTCATGAAGTTGAAAGTGTGACTGCCCTCAGAAATTATCACTGAAACTTCAGTCAGGCTATGGGTTAGTGGGACAAATGGTACTTCCAGGCCACCAGTTCTAGTGACCCCTTAGTAGGTATTGACTGAAAATTGTTGTCTTACAGGATCTCATCTGTGACTTTTGGGCTCAAACATCTGGATACCCCAGGAGTGGGTGTCTAAGCACAGCAAAAGGCCATGGGATTGCACTGGGCTTTGCCAGCAATACAAAGTTGCTCTGAGAGTTAGGGGAGTGGAAACACCAGTGTGTGTATTGCTGATGGCAGTTTGGTGGACAGCATAGACTCAAACAGCTTTCCCTCACATCTGCATCCGACAGGTGTGGTAAAACTCACTGCTAGTCTTCCAGGCTGGTGTTTTTAGCTGCTTATGCTGGTAGTTCTGAAGTCCTGTTCAACTCCATTATGAGCAGAGATTATGCCTGCAGAGGGTTGGCCCTGGTGGGTGTATACCATCATGTCATGCTGCACTTCAGAGGTGTAGTCTAATACTTTCTAGGAAAAGGAAAACAGGAGAGAGTAAAGATAAAGCACCACTTCAGAATTTCTCTCCTGCCTCTGCCATTCAGGTACTCTCTGTTCATGTGACTATGAGCATCTATCCATTCTTCCATTTCTAGCCAGAACTGTCTCTTTTCCTTTACCTGTTGATCTAGGAAAGCCCTTTTTTTTAAGGTAAGAACAATAGGATAAAATCAGTAGGTTGAGATAAAAGCCAGTCTTGAGGAAGGAAGTTTTTCCTAAAAGTACCTACAGCAGCAGCAGAACCCTGGCTGTCATGGGCTAGAAAACATGAGATTGTAAAATTGTGTGCATTACCAAGGTCCTAAAAGGCCTAGGATGGGCTTGTAATTTATTTATCTTTTAACTCTGCTCAGATTCACAGCTGGGGTAATACGGAGAGAAAGGATGATCCCCTTTGAGCGTTTACTGTGGCGAGCCTGCAGGGGAAACATCTACCTGAGATACACTGAAATGGACACCCCTATGGAGGACCCTGTGACAGTAGGTACCAACCAGGTTTTACTTTAGGCTGCCCTGTGTCCATGGCTGTGACCTGCAGAAACCAAACTGATGCCTTGGCCATGCTGCAGCACCAGCTGCCTTATCAGAGCTGGGTATCTGAAGGAAGCCTGTAGAATAAAAGTGGGAAAGTTTGAGGATGGGAGAAGTTTCTCTGACATTGCTTTCCCCTTTTGCCGCTATTGAGGTGGTTTCTTGTTCCTGCCCGGTTAAGATGCATGTGGGGCCTAGCAGGGTGACTGTGTTATGGGGACCACTGTGGGGATGGACTGTGGCTGTCCTCACCTGGAGCTGGGGGAAAAGAACAACCCGGTAGAGAGGCTGCCAAAAAAAAACCCATCAACTTTTCTGCACAGGACTCCAGGTGTATTAAATTCTGCTTGAATTTGTTGCAGAGAGAAGAGATGAAGAAGAACGTGTTCATTATCTTTTATCAAGGAGAGCAACTTAAACAAAAAATCAAGAAAATTTGTGACGGGTAAGGCAGGCTTGTGGGCAGGCCGCAATGACTCCTAAGGAGGTGTTTACCTGGCAGCCCGGGCTGGCTGAATTTGGAACTAGAGACTAGATCTCCAGCTGCCCAGCTGTCAGCTCTGACACCAGAACCTCCCTTCTGCTTCTCAGCTCTTCTGCCCCTAATCATGAAAGATATTCATCACCCTGGCACTTGGAAATCAAGATCCTAAATTTTACAAAATGATTTACAGCTCTTGGGAGCTTCAGTTGCTAGGTTTTTAATTTGGAACATCTAAAAGGGGGCTATTGTTTAAGAAATATTCAGCACTCTTCCCCTGAAAATCGGGGGCCCTAACTTGGGGTCTGGAAACATAGTAATCCCTGACTTGCTCTCAAGCCTTCCTGCATTTCTTCATAAAAAGATGATGCTGTAGTTTAGTCAACCCTTTCCCAAGGCCTTTGAGCAATATCTGTGTAATCAGAGAAGGAGCCTAGGAGAGAAATGAAAGCTTCATACAACTTGACTTGTTTCCACCCTGTTAAGCATCTTGAAAAGATAATTCAGGTTGAATATTTTGTTACTCTTTCATAAAACTGATGACCGATGGGCTTTGTTGCAGTGTAAATCAGATTTGATGAGAGGATCTGTCTGCTGTCACCAAACCCATTTCAGGTATGGCCCCTTGGCCAGGAGGGGCCAGCCTGCAGGCTGCAGAAGGTCACAGAGACAGGGTGAGCAATTGCTCTTCCCTGACATCTGCACTCAGTGCAGGTCTTTCCTTAAATTCTGCCTTTAATCAGAATAAAAACAGGTAGATCTTTCATCCAGTTGGGATGATAGACTGCAGTCCTGTGAAGTGACAGAACCCTGGGGACTATTAGTAATTCCTGCACTAGAAATGGGGCCCTCCAAGATACCATCTACAGGCAGCAGAGGGCAATGCCCACCCTGAGTGCAATTCAGCCCTCCTGTGGTGGGCATCTGTCTATAAAGCAGTCATGGACAGCTGAGGGAAGACTACCAGCTCTCAGTCACTGATTTCTGATCCTGAACCTCAGATATGGAGGGAGTTCTGCCATAGCCACTGTGCAGGACCAGTCTGCTCCTGCCAGTGGTCTTTGAGCTTTCAGCGACCCTCATTCTCTTTCTGGATTACAATTTCCTGCGTATCATAGAATAGTTTGAGTTGAAAGGGACCTTAAAGATCATCTAGTTCCAACTACCCTGCCACTTTCCAGTAGACCAGGTTGCTCAAAGCCCCATCCAGCCTGGCCTTGAATACTTCCTGGGATGGGGCATCCAAAACTTCTCTGGGCAACCTGTTCAAGTGCCTCACCAACCTCATAGTAAAGAATTTCTTCCTAATATCCAGCCTAAGCCTACCCTATTTCAGTTTAAAGCCACTCCCCCTTGTCCTATCACTACATACCCTTGTAAAAAGTCCCTCTGCAGCTTTCCTGCGCCCCTCTTTATGTACTGGAAGGCTGTTATAAAGTCTCCCCAGAGCCTTCTCTTCTCTCAGCTGAACAACCCTACAGAGTGCTGCAGGTACTTCATTTTTGATTATTCCTCCCCCCCCCCCCCCCCTTCCGCAGCATTTTAAATTCCCTGCAGCCAAAAGCCCAAGACTTTTTTTCTGGGGTGGAAGTAAAGGAACAAGCATGTCAGCATTTTCATTATCGATTGACCCCAAAATGATCCAGACCATAGGCACAACCTTCTGCAGTGGAGTGCAGTTGGGAGCAAGAGGCCAGGCAGTGCTGGAAATGTGAGCATATCCCTGCAGGGGAGTCGTGACATGATCATTTTCTGGGAACTAGTGTTGTGGATGTGGCAATAGGTTTACAGAAAGGAACTTAGACTGGTTTGTCTTGGGCTCTTTTAACTGAAGGAAAACATACCTACCAAAGATGAATTCACAGGATCCCCTTTGCAGTCCTGCTGCACTGGGTTTTATTTGTTGCCAAATAATTAGGCTACACTTGAAATCATCCTTTATGTCCCTTCTTCCTTTCAAGTTTTTTGCCTGCTGATATGCATACATATAAAGATGTTTTGCTGAGTGGCAGGTTTCTAAACGTATTAATCCTTTTGTGCTCTGTGGGCCATCATCTGTTCCTGGTACCCAGGCCAAGACGTTTTGATCTTGTCCCTCTTTAAGGCAGGGTTAACTATACGTAATGCAGATGGCAGTGTCGTTCCAGCCCCAGCAGGACATTTCTGCTTAGCACTAAGTCATCATTCATGACAAGTAAATATCCTGCAAAAATCATGGGACTGGTCTGAGCCAGTTTCCTGCAAGGCAGGCTAAGATTTGTTTGCAGAGCTGTGTGCCTCAGGTTACGCTTGTAGTCCCTGCTTGACTCTAATTGGTAACATTAGTCTGCCAATTTCATGAGTATTAAGTCCGTGCACAAATTTATTAGTGAAAGATGTAGAGGGAGCAGGGAGGAGGAAAACGTAAGAATTTTTCTTTTCCTCCTTTTCTTGCGGCTGCCTCAGTGCTAATGTGAATACTAAACTGGGTTTATCAATGTAAGGATTCCCTGCTGAATTCTCCTGGAGCTTTCAGAGATGTCTGTGCCATTAGGGCAAAGCTGATACTCAGTATGCAAAATGGCTGTTAAAAGATCAAAGCAGCACTGCTGCAATAACGTTATTGGGAACAGGGGAACTGTACAGCATGGAGGAATAAGCTTTCAAGTTTGATTAAAAATCCTTATTAAAGATGAACTAAGAGCTGGGAAGAATAAGGAGATGGAAATAATTAGGTGAGGTGAATAACCTTTGGAAACGAATACCAGGTGTTGAGTGAGGAGAAATTCAATTCTGGAAAGGGAAGTTTAGCTGAAGAGCACGTGCTGTCATTACACACAGCTCTGGGCTGATCTCTAGGAAACTGCAGCATGTTTTGTTCAATTTGCAACTGTCCTCACTTGTATGTGTGCTGGAACTGATTTTGGAGAGCAGGTGGTGAAATATCCTGTGCTCAGACAAAGCCAGAATATGACGCTTATCTGTACACAGAGCCTGCACATTTTTGTCTCTCAAGCAGGGATAGAACCCTATGACCCTGTTACATCTCTTTTAATTCAGCTCATGTGCAGAAAGGCAGCCCTTCAGCAACCCTAACTCAGCGTAGCTCCATGACAGGATGGTGGAAACACGTTGCCTTAGGTGGGCAGAAGATCCCAGCTCTGTAAAGAGGAGGGATCTCTTTCTGCAGATCTGCTGGGTAATATTAAAGTGGCAGGGGTGGCACAAGCACTAGATATCACTGAACAAATCGAGTAGGGAAAAAAGGAGGGATTTGTGCTGTTTTAGTTACTGCAGCATCTCAGCTCAGTTAAGGCTTGCAGGTGCAGAGCCTTGCAGCAGCGCACCTTGTGATCTGCAAGATCCTAGGGGGAGCTCCTTGTGCCTGCTGTCATGCAGGAATTGTCCTCTGGGACTTGTTTTGCAGGCAGGAGAGGTAGCTGTACACTTTTCAGAGAGACATGCAACCAATTTCTAGTTGGCTGTACTGGCATCATACAGTGGCTGTATGACACTGCAGTGTGCTGTACTAGTGCAAGCACCTCTACACCAGGATGATTCGCAGCTGTACTAGAGAAGGTCATGTTGCATACTATAGATGAAGCAGTGTACAAACACCTGCGTGGAGGTGCACTCACATATTAGAATCCCACATTAGTCCTTGTAACACCACACTAAACAAACCCCCTGAATGTCCCAAATAGAACCTTGGGGGGAAGCTTATAAAAGCATTTATACTAGCCTGGCACATCTAAGCTGACAGATACCACTCTCAGGTGTTTAAAAACCTTTACCCACATCCTTCCCTTGTTCCCAAGCTGTCTAGTCAAACAGGTGGACTGGAAGCCAAGAGCCAGCCATCCTCCTTCTGTTTTATCCTGGAAATAGTATTTTTTGTTTGTTTGTTTCCTTGTTTGTTTGTTTGTTTTACAGGGTTAATTAATTACTTAGCCTGCCGGCACAAAGGGCGCTTGCTTGCAGTGCGGCAGTAGCTCAGCTGATGCCTTCTCCCAGTGCCTGTGAGAGGGAAGTGCAGAGACAGGGACATGGTATTTTTCCAGCCTCAGTGCAAGAGGGACATCTGTTGGCTACCGTGTTAGCAGGGCTGCCTTTGCCAGGGTGGGTTTTCGTTGAGACTCTTTGCAGTTGAAGCACCTTGTGGGCATAAGGGAGTTGCCTACATATTGGTGCTGACCGCTGTATGATATCAGCTACCATGTGTCACCTGAGACAGGGAGGTTTTTTCAGCTAGAGCAGGTGAAGGGATTTTTATTCTCGTGAAGTGATAAGTGTACCTTTTGGGCTTCCCTGCGAGACCAGACACATCTGCGTAGTATGTAAGAAGAGTATACTACTGGGTCAGGAATGAAGCGCAGTTTCCCTGCCTTTGAGATGAGAAGAGTACAGAGGAAGAAAATTCAGTCAAATAAATGGTGTTTCTCACTTCTCTCTTACTGAGGCTAGATTTCGTGCCACAGTCTATCCCTGTCCAGAGTCTGCCACCGAGCGCCGAGAAATGCTTGATGGAGTCAACACAAGGATCGAGGATTTAAACACAGTAAGTGGCAGCAGCTTCACTGAGGATTGAACCCTGCAAGTGGGACCTGCCCAGGTACTTGTCCTGTCCGAAACCCTTTGGCCATGGCCAGACCCCAGGCTTGTTTTGGGAGCTGGCTGTGCAGAGCTGGCCAGGGGCTGGGAATGCAATCACCAGTCCAGGAGTGGTGCCCCTGCCAGTTGCAGAGGCCAGTGCTCATGCTCTGCTCTGCCCATTTACAACCTCCAGGACCTGCTGGGGGAAAGCATTCCACATGAGGGGCTCAAAAACTACTTCTTGCTCTTTGTCATGCAAAGGCCAAAGATTTAGACATTATGGTATGGGGCTAAAGGTTGGAATATAAGATCATCAGCAAGCAACAGCTATTGTAACTAAATTGCACATTGTTCAAGAGGGGTTAGTCTAGCTCTTAAAGCATGGTTTGCCCTCAGCAGCTTGCAAAGTTGTTAAGTCACAACTGTAGTACAAGGCTCAGAGGGGACTCTACAGTTTTTCATATTTAAATTAGATTTTCTATACCGAGAAAACCTTGAGGTGCTTATCACAGTAGCAGTGGAAACCCAAGACTGCTCTTATAGAAGTACAAGTCTCTAACACTTATTGTGGGGCTGAAAACTGCAAGTTCAGTTGCTGTGGGTGCTCAGGAGCTCATATATTTGTAGGCTGTATCAGGACTTCACACCTTTTGGAGAGTCCTGCCTGTGTGTTGTGACACATGACAGTCAGTGGGTCCTGAAGGCAGGAAGGAATGAGCACCCTATTTGCCTGACGTGGTCCATCTGGCAGTTGGCATCCTGCTGTCACCCACCCTGTGGATGTCTGTGACTGCCAAGCCTGCACGCAGGTCTGCTTCCCAACTGGACTGTTGTCACTCCTCAGCGTCACGGGTAGCCAGACTTTTTCAGCACCTGCAGACCACACAGGTTATTTTCCTAACACATCATCTCCTTCGTTCACTTACGCAGCAGCGCTGCGGTGGCCACACGATGCATGGAGGTTCCAGGGCCATTGCAGCTCTAGCACACTGATGTGATTACGCCCCAAGTTCGTGGCACAGACTGCCTACAGGAGATGTCAGGTTGGGAGTGTGTAGTGAGATGTGGCAAGTCTATAAGCAACTGGGTAAGAAGCCAGTTCCACAGCTCAGTAACTCCCAGTGGTCTCCTCTATGCTTATAGTGACTTGGGACCATCCAGGGAGAGCCCTTAGGGAGCAGCATTGTGCACCTGGTGTTGAGTGCTCCTGTGTCCAGACCTGCACACACTGCCCTACAGGAGACCCCACTCATTCATACAAATCATTCCCTTTCTGCAACTCTCTTCCACCTGCCTTCTCCAATTAAATGCAGAATAGATCATGTCCCATATGCTTCTCTATCTCGAGTGCTGCCTATGCTGCGCTTACAGGTCATAACACAAACTGAGTCCCACCGCCAACGACTGCTGTATGAGGCAGCAGCCAACTTGTGGTCCTGGGGGATCAAAGTGAAGAAAATCAAGGCTATCTACCACATCCTGAATTGCTGTAACATCGACGTCACCCAGCAGTGTGTCATTGCAGAGATCTGGTTCCCAGTGGCTGATGCTGACCGGATAAAAAGAGCTCTCCATCAAGGAATGGTAAGAGACCAACATTTTGGGTCCTTGAAGCTCTCACACAAACTGCATTGTTCATATGCTGAGCATATGTTCAGACCTGTCTATTACTATAATGTGGGGCTCCCTTCTCTGTTTTAAGTTGAGATGGTTGTATGATCGCTTGGACTCAGGGAGTTTAAGGTCAGCATTAAATTGTAGCAGGTTTGTGACTGGTCCATGAGCCAGCAGTACTGGCGTCTTTCCCTGAACAAATCAACAGCACAAAAAATACAAAAATGTGGATATTAGAGAAAGGGTTGAGATATAAATCTCCTGAGCCCAGCTTTCACATTGCTGCCTGTGTGTGTTTGGACACATATTGTGGTATTGTGGGGCTGATTTTTCTCTCCTAGCCACTCTGATTGTGTCTGCCCTTGTCACTGGATTTGCAGGAGCGCAGTGGCTCTACGATTGCCCCTATCCTTACTGCCATACACACCAGGATGGCACCACCCACCTTCAACAGGACCAACAAGTTCACAGCTGGATTTCAGAACATTGTGGATGCGTATGGTGTGGGCAACTACAGGGAGATGAACCCGGGTGAGAAACATTCAGCTACCTGCACCTGGATTGCATGAGCCAAAGTTTAGCCTTTGAGCTCTGTCACCATCCTAAAGTGTGTACTCTTTGCTGATTAAGAAATCTGAACCATATTGGAACTCTTTGGTGCATAGGCATGTATTTTCTCAAGCAAAGAATTTGGCTTTTGGTCTTCTTCCCATTCTTGTGATGTGAATAATGAACTATATGAATAAGAGATGGGGAAAAAATAGTGAGGTAGTAGCTCTGAGGAAAAGAATGAAGCTCATAAGACAAATGTAAGTTGAGCTCACTGTGTTGAGGTAAAAAGGGCCTAAAGGACCTGACAAAAGAGTGAAACCATTGGTAGAGAATCTCAGAGAGACCATTGCAAATTAAGAGACACCTAGAAATTGGGACCCATGGAAAAGGGTCAGATTAACTCAGATTGTTGAGGCTGAGCAGATTGAAAAACATGGTAGTAAACTTCAAGTACGTTATTCTGGTTGCAAAACCGAATGCAATTTTCTACACATAGTGCTTATTATGGTGAGACAAGAAACAAAGGATAAAACTGCAAGATACACATCATACAGCTGGACAATCTTTCTGATGGTAAATCTAGTTCTGCACTAGATCCAACTGCCTAGTGAGTAGGAGAGGGATCAGGGAGGCCTTTAAGAGCAGCAGCTGTAAGGAATGACCTGATGGGGTAGACAGGTTCTCTGCTGAGGCCTTTTTTTTTTTTTAGAAGGAGCTGAGCTTTTCATCCTTTGCTTCCTGCAGCTCCATACACTATCATTACTTTCCCCTTCTTGTTTGCGGTGATGTTTGGGGATTGTGGCCATGGTGCTGTCATGCTGGGCTTTGCACTCTGGATGGTCATTAATGAGAAGAGCCTTCTGGCCCAGAAAAGCACTAATGAGGTGAGTACCAGGGAGCTGATACACCCTTTATGCATAGGAAAAGGCTCATGAGCCCCATCTGATAAATGGGACATCCAGCCTCCCAAAGGCTGAGTGAAGATTCTTTGAAGACACTCGTGAGGTAGAAATTTGTCAAGTAATTATGACTACTTAGACACAGAGACCTGGATGGGCCTAAGGGACGCAAAGTTTCCCCTGAGTAATTGTATGTACACAGATCAGTAGAATCATGCCTCCTGTTGGCTGAGGGCCACCGTCTGGTGGACCTGTGGGTGCTCTGGTCACTGGCACTGCCTTCTCCCCCTGCAGATCTGGAATACCTTTTTCAGCGGGCGCTACTTGATCCTGCTCATGGGCATATTCTCCATGTACACCGGCTTCATCTACAACGACTGCTTCTCCAAATCATTCAACTTCTTTGGTTCTTCCTGGCATATCATCCCCATGTTTAAAAATAACACTTGGAAGTAAGTGGCTAAATGCAGGAAAGAAGTGAAAGCACACCAAATGGAGCACGTAGGCTTGGAAAGAAAGACTGCCTGTGTGGGGAAGGGAAGAACTCCCTGCTGTGGATGCAGTCATGAATGAATCAGAGGTTTTGTCTGGCACACACAGATGAATTCACTATTGAAATGGAAATGGAGAGTCCCTGGGAACATGCCTGTTTGTTCAGGCACTGATGTGCATTAAAATCTGCAGGTGTCCAGGATTGATGCATAGAGAATTATCAGTGTGATGGAGACTGTCGTTGTGTGAGGCCCATTTACACGCACACAGGCACACAAGTGAAGGGTAACAGGTCATAGAGAGGTTGGATACAGATATCATGTGGTAGTCCTCAGCACACCTCACATAGTATACTGTAGGCTTAGATGGAGAAACTAAGCTGCAAAGGTCATTTCCCATTCTCTTGTAGTAAGGATGTGCTTCTAGAGAATCCGGTGCTGCAGTTGGATCCAGCAATCCCAGGAGTCTACTCTGGAAATCCATATCCATTTGGAATAGATCCGGTAATTAAATTAAATTGCTCTAAGATAATTTGTATTTCAATCCTGTTTCTGCATATCAGGTACATCAGTAGCTCCCTGCACTCTCTGCTGAAGCTGTGCTTTTCAGTTCTTGCTCCCTGTCTGTTCTTTACACAGTTGTAGTGGTTTAACCCCAGCCAGCAGCCAAGCCCCACGCAGCCTCTTGCCCACTGCCCCACTGGTGAGACTGGGGAGAGAATCAGATGGCTAAAAGCCTGGAAACTTGTGGGTTGAGATGAAGACAGTTTAACAGGGGAAACAAAAGCCATGCAAAGCAAAACAAGGAATTAATTCACTGCTTCCCATGGGCAGGGAGCTGTTCAGCCATCCCCAGGAAAGCAGGGCCCCCATCAGGCATAACAGTTTCTTGGGAAGACAAACATCATCACTCCAAACGTACCTCCCCCTCCTCCTTCTTAGCCTCAGCTTTATGTCCTGACCATGATGTCACATGGTAAGGAATATCTCTTTGGTCAATTTAAGTGACCTGTCCCAGCTGCATCTCCTCCCAGCCTCGCAAGCACCTCTAACTTCCACACCAGCACAGAAAAGAACAGAAAAGGCCTTGACTCTGTGTAAGCCCTGCTCAACAATAACAAAAACATCTATATTATCCAGCCTGTGTTCAGCACAAATCTGAAGCCAAAGGGGTTTTCTCATCCCTTTCCACCTTTGCTAAAGAAGATGACTCAGCCTAAAGACAAGGAATGACATAGGAGAAGTTCTGCTACCAGACTCTGCACTGGTTTCTGGAGGGCTGAAGCAAAGTTACAAATACTTTTAAATTCCTGTTAATTCCTCTGTTAAACGTACTTTATAAGTTTTAGATGAGAAGCTTGACAGAGTGAAAAGTATTATGAGGAACAATTAGAATTCCGTTGCTCATTATCTTCTTACTATAAGTGGTAGGAGTAAATTGATGGTGTCAAAGCAACAACTTCCACAACTCTGTTACTGAAAATCTTGTTCTCTCTCTTTCTCTCCTCCTTTCCCTGAAGATCTGGAATGTTGCATCAAACAAGCTGACTTTCCTGAACTCCTACAAAATGAAGATGTCAGTTGTCATAGGGATTGTGCACATGATTTTTGGGGTGATACTCAGCCTCTTCAACCACATGTAAGTTTGTTTCACCAAGCCTGTTGCTGCAGCACACAGGTCCTCATCACTAAACTAGTGCCCTTCACTCAAAGGAAGCCTCATATCTGTGACTGATGACTTGAACTGCCCCATGCACTGACTGACTCACACTATGGTTGGTACGCAGTGCTAAGTCCAAAGGACAGCCATTACATTGCAGATATTTTCTTGGATAAATGTGGGGTATAAACTTTCTTTTAAACTTTCTTATATTCTTGATTCTGTAGAAATACTGAAATACATTAAATTAAAAATACACAGCACCTCCCACTGTGGATAATCTTTCTCTCAAAAGACAAGCTCTTTTGGTCTAAACCAAAGCACAATGAAATCTTGCCAAGTATGTGTGTGAGTTTCACCTGGCTTAGTGGGCCTTTGGTCAGGATCTGCCGGTCTGTGTGTCTACATCTCTGCCTCTATATTTTGCAAAAAAAAAAGAAGATATGGTGATAGATTGGAAGGGCTGACACTACTGTCTTTGAGAGACTCTCCAAAGCTGAAATGAGGTCGTGACCTTCAAGGACAGAAGTGTTTGCAGATGACAGAGGGGACTGCCCCTCCATGACTGATACTACATCTGGTTCTGACCTTCCTCAGAGTATAATGCTAATTTTGTAAACTAGCCATTTTTTGAAAATTGGCTTCTCTTTCAATGTAGTAATCTTTTGAGGTGCTGAGATACTGGTAGGTTAAGTATAAAAATCTGAAGATAATCAGTACAACAAAGATTTTGTATTTAAGCAATAGCTTTCAGTGATATAGCCTGTAATTACAGATGTCTTTCTTGGCTAGTGACAGTTGTGTATTTATTAGGTTGTTTTCCAAAGACTAAGTAATGTACAGTACTGCCATACTTGGGTGCAAACTTATATTAACACCTAGTGTATTAATTGTAGTTATCTCTCCTTATTCTTTCCAGATACTTCAGGAAATATATAAACATTATCCTTCAGTTCATTCCAGAGATGATTTTTATTATCTCTCTTTTTGGCTACCTGGTCTTCATGATTATTTTCAAATGGTGTCATTTTGATGTCCACTCATCCCAGAGTGCACCAAGCATCCTCATCCATTTCATCAATATGTTTCTGTTCAATTATAGTGACACTTCAAACGCTCCACTGTATCTGCATCAGGTATGGATCAAGCAGCTTGTATCCACAGTAGCTGGGTTTGTATTTGCAGTGGGTGTTGTGGACAGTGGGCATGAGGATACGGAGGACAGGCTCAGAAGCTCAATCACAAGTGCCTGTCACAGAAGTGAAGTTTATTCTTCTGGTATTTGTGTTGGCCTTGCAGACAGGTAGGACAGAGAAGCTATCAAGCAGTGATGCAGAGAAAACCTCATTCTTAGTGCCATCCTTGCAAGAATAATGATGCAATTGAAGATACTTTTGGTGAAAAAAGGAAAGAAAGGTGATTTCAGATGCAAAGCTGGGTATTGCAGATGTGTTCTCCTGAACTCTGGTCATGATGCTAGAGACATCTATTTTCCTTCATAATTTCTTATTTTTTCTTTGGAAAACTCAAATATTTTACAATTTCATGTAAAAAAATTGAAGCACCTAGAGGATTTTATGGCAGCTTCTTGTCAGAAATAACTCCTTTGGGGATTTCATTTAAAATAAAAAAAAAAAAAAAGGCAAAAATACCAGCCAAAAAATCTCCTCTAAGACAAAACTTCTTTCAAAGTTGCCTCTATTTATTTGGTCAAAACATGGAATTGTTTTTTGTTGCTTCATTGATTTTATATCAGCAACATCAATGAAGAATATGCAAACAAATGCAGCATCCAGCCGCATGTGTGCACCTGCTTCTATACAGTTGCACACTCTGGCACTTCAGTGTGAGCTCAGTTTTAGGGCTGCTCTAGTGCATCAGAGTTAGCAGAGAATCCTGATCAACTCCAAGTAACTGCGTTAAGGCTTCAGGAGGAGTTTGGGAAAACAGTTTTTCCAGCCTTCAAAAAGTCTTGGGGTAACATTTTGCTTTGTAGCAACCCAAAGCCTTCCCAAGGGGGCATTTTTTTTTTCTCAGATTCCTATCCCCCTGCCCCACCAATAACAGTCTGTGCCATCCACCTGGGTAGTCTGAATGCAATACTGTATGAGAAAAATCATGAGGTGATTTAAGATGTGAGCCAGCTTTAAGAAAATGCAGAAGTTGTAGTTAAGGGGTTTCTTTGTTTGTTTTGGTGTCATTTTGTTTCCTAAAGTACAAGTGGTTATGTTAGGACAGCAGTAAGGGTGCCATACTGCACTGTAAGAACACCTTATATTGTCGGGACAATGCGTTACCAAGCCTAAGCTATGGGAATTCAATTCCCTTCTGGAATTGCAAACCTAGAGCAAATCCAGGGCAAGACTTGAATGACTTGGCTCTTACTGCAGCATTGCCACACTGATCAAAGCAAGGCAGACTGACTGGCTACCACAACAGTTAGGACATTTCCTTGGGACACTGGACAACCAGGTTCAAGTCAGCAACAATGGGTTTTGGTAAATTAACCCTTTCCAGAATGAAAGCCTTTCACCTCCAAATCTCCTACCATCTGTATCTGCAAGCGCTTTCTGGAGACTTAAGCAGTATACATTCATTTTCATGTCCTTACAAGCAGAGGATACACAAATGAGCAAGGAAGGAGTATGTATCTGGTGTATAAAAAAAAAAAAATACCATTTTACAGAATCATCTTTCTAACCATAAATGCAGTTGGCTAAAGGAAGTAAAGTAACTTTTTGCTCTTGTTGTTGTTTTGTCTTTTAGAAAGAAGTGCAGAGTTTCTTGGTGATATTTGCTCTGATTGCTGTTCCCTGGATGCTCCTAATCAAACCTTTCATCCTCCGAGCCAACCACCAGAAAGCACAGCGCATGGTAAGGGACGTGGATCAGTCAAGGGTGATTCAGTACAGTGGAGGCAAAGATGAGGAGATAGCCCCCAAAATTTGTTTGCAGTGATCTAATTCTGCTCTTCTCTCAGACTTCTCTCTCAGACTTTCCCTGTTGAGTTCAAAGCCACATACACCAAGGCCATGTGTATGGACATGTTTGAGCCATCTAAACTAGAATCACAGAATGGTTAAGTGTGGAAGGGATCACTGGAGGTCATCTAGTCCATCTAAGTCCCTGCTTAAACAGGGTCCCCTAGAGCTTGTTACTCAGGATTGCGTCCAGTCAGCTTTTAAATAACGGAGAAGGAAACATATCCCTAGAAGCAGGAGCTTTGGTCACAAGGCCATACCCTATTTGTTAAGCTGACATCAAGGTCTTCCACATGTCATATCCAAAACCAGAGAAGGTTTGGAAAGATTGAGATTCTGGTAAAGCCAAGACAGGGCAAAGTCCTCAGTTGTCAGTCCACAATCACCACTAAACACCAGTTAGCTGTTCTGTAGAAACAGAGCATCTCTGATAGCATAGGGGAGATAGCACTGCTTAAAGAAGCTTGATTTAAAAGCTGTTGCCCGCTTTCTAGCAGTGCTTTCTTCCCTAAGTGATTGCCTTCACATTAACAGAGCCCTCCTTCCCCTGGGCTCTGTGGTCTGCCCAGCTCTGCAGCACATAACTCTGGCAGCTGCAGTTTCCTAGTTGTTCATTAATTCTCTCCTTTATTACACTAATAGGACTTCACTTGTCTGTCAAGATTTACTTCTCTTTATAGTCAGAGTTAGTGCCTGGAGTACCTTTTATAGGACACAGATGTTTCCATTTGAAGAAAGAGATGCTGGTTGTGCTGCTTGACCTTTTCCAACCCAATCACTTCTGACCTATAACTGAAAGCCAGGTCCCTGGGAGACCTTTGCAGCCCTGCCTCTGTGCTGTAATTTCTTATTTTGTCATTCTTCCGGGATTTGGATGGAAGCTTGGCATGGCTGACTCCATCTCCTGCCTTTATGCTAGCAACATCTGACAGGTTTTCCCCACCTCCTATTGTGCCCTGGTATTTCCATTCCTAATTTTCATATGTTAGCTGTCTGATCACATCTTACATTCCCTCAGATTTATATGTTTGCAACAAAGTCTGTTTTCTACGCTGACATTCAGGTAAAGCAAAGACAAAGCGGGTGTGACAGTGGTTACCGCTGCAATAGGAAACAATATGTTGTCATGAGACCCTTCCCATGAAACCTCCTGGAAGCTGTAAAGAGTGACAGAACCTGAGAGAAGCCATGAGGCCCATATTTGGTTATGCTGCATAAGAGGGCTGTGACATGATGTAGGGCTATTCTTATGCTGTTCTGTCGTTTCTGGAGTGAGACTCAGATCGGGTTGTTCAGGCCTTCAGGTTGTTCATTCTAGGAAATCTCTGTAAAGAATAATTACAGGGAGAAGATGGGTTGCCATGAGGTTTTTGTCAATTTAAAGTGAAACAGGAGCTTTGAATTGTATTTGTCTGTATCCCGGTAAATATGTGGCCTTCAGCAAGTCACATGATCCTTTCTGGCTTTGTTGCTCTTTCACTTGATGTTAATTCCTTTGATTTGCACCAATCTGATTGAGATCATCAGCTTTAATGTGCCTCAATTTTCTCAATTGCCAGAAGGGGTGGTTTTTCCTATAGTGAGGTCAAAGGGTACATTGTGAGACTAGAAACTAGTTACAGAATAGTTGGAATCACTGGAAAATGCTCTAGGATGGAAAATATTTTGGTATTATTAGCCATTCCATGGGAATATTCAGTTTCTGTAGCCTATGATGACTATTTTTTAATTGTCTTCATGTTGATGATGTAATCCTTCATGTGTTATCCATCATGAGTTTATTGAGGGAGTTCTGTGCCATGGACTTCTTAATTTTGATACCAGCCTGTAGCATGACACAAAAAATTTATTACATTTTCTTTCTGAAAGATCCGTTCTCAAGCCATCTCAGGAAACTCTGGAGGTGAAAATGAGGTAGATGTCTCAGAGACCAACCACGCCAAGAAAGCTTCCCAAGGAGACCACAGTGGTGGCCATGAAGGACATGAGGGTGATGAGGAAGAGGTAAGAAAATTTGGGCGTAATATTACTGAGACAGACACAACAGTAGAAGACATAAAGTCAAGCAGAGGACTTTTTCAGAGTTGCCAGCCCTTCTTTTTAACAAGATATCAACACACACTGTTGTAAGACTTTGTGTTTCCAAACAGAAAAAGGGTTGAATTTTCATTGAATTAATTCTCCTAAATTCTCCCTTTGTTTTTGCCTGGTGGTGGCAGGTGTTCATACAAACCTCAAGCTCTTGTTTCCTCAAGGATGGTTGTTTCACTTTCACATTGCACCCAGAGAAGGTCAACCCTTTTCCAAGAGTCAGTGAGTTTTCCTTCCTTTATTTTGCAAAGGAGACTTTAAAAGTTGGAAGCCAGCATTGTTGACGAGGGAGAAAAGTCTTCCTTTGGCAGCTACTGTCAAGAGCTTCTGCAGTAGGCAGCAACCCAGGAAAAAGTAACAGAAGTGTTTGTAGCAGTTGGAAGTATCAACAGTATTGAGTGTGGATATTGCTGGCTGTTCCCAGTCACAGGGAATCTTCACAGATTTGCTTATTCATTATTATTGGATACAATTATTCAGTGATTTCTCCCAAAATCTGTATACCCATAGGCAGATAGTCTGAAAGCCACTATTTTACCTAAGGACTTATATCAGAAATCACATTGTTAGCAATTGGATTGACATTTAAAGATTTGAAATTGTAGGAGTGGAATGTGAACTGTTTCCCTAGCATTTGGCTTTCACTGGAATCGTATTTCTCCAGGGAGAATGTATGAAAAGATCATACAGAATGGACACTTTCCAGAGCAGCCTCTTTACCTGGGAAATATCTTTGCGTTGCTCAGGACATAGCAAGGAAAAGGAAGGAGTATGAAGAGCCTTTGGTGGAGTGTTGCTGTTAGCCAAGAAGTCCTGAACTAGGAACTAATAAAATGTGTTTGGTTTTATGTTCTTTCAGTTCAATTTTGGAGACATATTTGTCCACCAAGCTATCCACACCATTGAATACTGCCTTGGCTGCATCTCCAACACAGCATCCTACCTGCGGCTCTGGGCGCTGAGCTTGGCCCATGCACGTGAGTGATTGTCCACCTGTCAGTTTCCTGACCAGCAAATCCATGCTGATCACTGCTTCTGCTGCTGTTTGAGTATTTCTGCAGATTTCTTCACGAAATCCAAGTTCTCCTTGTGGGCGTTTGTGTTTCAGGATGTTTTACTTCAGGTTAGATCAATCCAAGGGTTTCACGGTGGCCATCTCAGTTTTTAGGGGTGATCCCTGGCAGCTATGTGTGAGTCAGCTCCTGACTGCATTTACTGGCAGAGGCTCCTTTCCCACGCTGCTCTGTAGCCACCCCTCTGGAATAGTCCTCACTGTGTGTGGCACAGAGGGTGGTGCAGTCCAGATGGGTAGTCCAGTCCATGGAGGTAAAGGCAGTATGGGAGCCATAGTTTCTTTTCTGAAGAGGCACTTGCTGTAGCCTCAGGGTATGCAGACAAATGTCAGAATTACTTGAAACAGTTATTTTGATTTTGTTCAGCAAACTGGAAAGAAAAGATCTGGTTCAAGAGCTTCTGGAATCTGTCGTTTTCACTGGGATTTTCCCAGCCATATTCAGTGGAACCTTACATTCCATGAAAAATGTACAGCATTTCAATGTCTTTTGCCTTGATTTATGATAAAAACAAATGCTCAAATACTAGAAACTGCCTCGGGCTGGAACTTCAGGTTTTCAACATCTTTAATTTTTCTGAAATGTTTTTTATTAGTATCGCTGTACTGCCTCTGGCTAGGAGTTGCAGCTGCCCTAAAGAATTGAGCGCACAAAAAAATGAAAACAAAAAGGGGATGGCTTGTGGTGTGGTGTGCCATGGGTTGACAGGGGTAAGCTGTACTGCTTGGCACAGAAATGAGCTTAGTAGGAGCTGAGTGGAAGCTAATACACATTAGCTTTACATGGAAGACAGACATCTAAATAAAATAAAATAAACCAACTAAAGAGCTTAGCTAAGGGCAGTCCTATGTATTCTGCCTGAAGAACCACCATATTCCTTTGCAGCATTACAAAATGACATCGACAAGATTTTTTTTTTTTTCCTGAGAGCAGCAGCTGGAAGGGATAAGGCTGAACTGGTGGCTGGAGCATCCAGAAGTAGAAGACCTGGGCTAAATCCTTGCTTTGCCTGTATCACAAGAGAAAAATTGCTCAGTTCTGATTCTGTCCTGGGTGACTGGGGTAGTTAAGTTAGGAATATGTTATTGAGCTGAGAGTACATGTCAGATATACCAGTGCTGGGAATGTTGATATAAACCTGTGCAGAAAAGAAAAAATCTTTAAGAGCATGGCAAGAAACCTAAATGCTAATACATCCTGCCTTGGGTGGGACCAGCCAATTGTCTTTTTTTTTTTTTTTTCCCCCCCACCACAGAATCTCCATGATACTCTAGGAGAAGCGGTTTGGAGAACAAATGGGAATTACATGTCTCCTGTGAGTCTTAGCTAGCTTCAGTCAGTGCAGCTTGTATCCTAATCTACACATGTATTGACTATGTCAATTGATCATGTTCACAGGGATTTAGCAGCAGGCAGTCCTAGAAGGCTGCAATACTGCCTACCTGCCACGTCAAGGAAGTGTAAATTAAACTGATGAGTGTATTATGACAAGCTAACAGTAGTCTTGCTAGTGTGTTTCCATGGACTTATGATGCAAAGTCAAACCAAAGCAGCACCATCAGCTTCTAACACAGAGAAGAGGAGCAATGGAAAACAAACTGCATCCACTTTCCTTCCCTGGTGATCATGGAGAGGTGGGGTGGCCATGTATGATCACTGTCATGTATATTTTACTGTCATGTGCATTTTATCCTAGGCCAACTCACCTGACTGGGAAACATGGGTCATCTGGCAGACTGCATGTCTGTCCACAGCTGTTTCTCCGCACTGTTTTCCTTTTATTTGTTTCTGCAGAGCTTTCAGAGGTGCTTTGGACCATGGTGATGCACAGTGGGCTCAGCAGCAGCGGCTGGGCAGGCCTCATTGTCATCTTCATCATCTTTGCAGCTTTTGCAGTGCTGACAGTGGCCATCCTGCTGGTCATGGAGGGGCTCTCTGCCTTCCTGCATGCCCTGCGTCTGCACTGGTAGGTGGTGTGGTCTTCTGGAGGTTTCTTGGAGTAGTCTTTCAGCCAGTACATGCTGTACTAGTACCTGTGCATTAGAACATCAGTTGCTTTTGGCAAGTGAAGTGAGGGAGACTCCTCCAAAAGGAGGTCAGAGCTCCCTGCTCTGCGCTGCTCCCTGGAGCGACCTGTTGTCCTCTTGCGCCTGTGGTGGTTGTGAGCATGTGAGGCCAATGGCAACCTGCAGTTCTGTCCTGGTAAACATGCAGGGCCACTTTGACCTGCATGACAAGGCTCAGAGGCACTGCAGCCATGCCACTGGCTGTGTGTCCCATGCAAGGTTGCCATCAAACAAGATTACTGCAAAAGGTTATTGTCAAACAATACAACTGAGACTGCCTAGGGCAGGAATAGTTCAGTTGAGAGCACAAAACCTGATGAAAACCTGTGTCAGTGCTTGTGCCATCAGCCCAAGCTGAGCTCCAGGCTGGTTTGGCTTTGTGGCAAACCAGTTTCAAGTTAGCTCATGTCTGCCTTAGTTGGATGTCAGTGCAGACAAGGACAGCAGTGCAGATGCACTGTCAGGCTAGTATGTAAGCAAGACCAAGGTGGCAAAACACCCTTTACCACCACCATAACTCATCTTACTGCCTGAGCACCCAAGCTGTGTCATTCTGCAGGGCACAGGAGATGTTTGTCTCCCATCAGAGTGTTAAAGCAGCAGGTGGTTATCCCAGCTCTCAGAGCTGCTGGAAGCAGGTTACCAGGCAGGCAAGGTTCTGCCGACTGGCCTCACAACAAGCATTTTCAGGCTGGATGATGGAAAGTCTGAGCTCCCTGCTGGCTCCAGAAAGAGCCTATGGCCTGTCTATCTATAGCGGCCTCCCTTTTCCCATGGGTGCCATGTATAAGCCTCTTGGCTGGCAGCAGATCCTGCCTGTGAGCAGCACTGATGCCTCCCTCTGCTCCTCCCCAGGGTGGAATTCCAGAACAAGTTCTACGTGGGAGCCGGGTACAAATTCTCTCCATTCTCCTTCAAGCACATCATCAATGGCACTGCAGATGAGTGAAGCCAGTGCATCACTGCTTCACTCCTCAGACCAGGCTCTGTTTCCCTGTGGTTGTATGCCCACAGAGTAGGGTATATGGGATTAAAGGCAATGGGATGTGGCCCTTGAAAGAAGAGCAGCTGCAGATGAAAGTGTAATAACCACATTCCAATATACTGCTGTATCAGCTGAGAGCTGAACTGCATCAGCTGGTCTGGCTGGACCCTTGGCTGAGTATCTCCACTGATGTCTTTGCCAAGTACCTGGTCCTCAGCATTCGATGGGGTCAGCTGCCTACTGCTTGGTTGAAAAGAGAAATGCAGCTTTTGAATTAAACCAGTTACTATTAATCAACTCACATATGTTTTGCTCCATTTACTGCCTTGTCTTTGTGGTATATTTCTTTCCGAGGCAAATATGTTTTGGCTGTCGTTTTAAGCTGTGGGTGATCATGTGGCATGATTAAGTCCCTTACAAGATTGCAGCCCTTCATTTAGCACACAATGCAAACCAGCTCAAAGACAGATTGTATTGCAGGCTTGCAATTTTCTACATGCTTTACTAGAATAACCCTCTTTTTATTTGATTTTCTCCAGGGCTTGACAGCACTGGATTAGAGAAGCTTGCACACATCATCACTTAACAAAAGTGTTAGTTTTGAGCTGTGTAAACAAAAGACTGCACCCGTTTCAACATTGGCAGCCATTTTATTTATCTCTATTGGCTTGTTTCTCACTGGAGACTTAAGATGACTCCCCATGTGCTGTATTTTTCAAGATGGGTTGTTAAAGCAGATTGTGTAGAAATGCTAATACTTAATGAACAGAAAGAAGAGTGGAATGAAAGCAGCTGATGTGAATTTGAAGTACTGATGTACTGTGACCTTCCTAAATATTCCTGAATTACTAATCTTTCAAACTGAAGAGTGTTAATCAGGCTATGTTTTTTTAACCATGAAGTATGTGAAGAAAACAGAGCACACCAATGGATTTGGAGTGGACAGTGCTCCTTTCCATGGGGTGTGACCAAACAAGCCCTTATTTTCAAACCTCACACCCTTGATATCCAGCTCCACCAAAAAAACAGCCTGGGAGTGTTCCCACAGGACACACGGTGCAATAGTCATCACAGGTAATATTTCTGCAGTATTCAGGCTTGAAAGTCACCTTCAGCTACAGTGACAGGGGAGAAAATGCAGCCCCAGGCAAAGCGGTTGTTTTAATTTTCTCTTGTGTTCTCAAGAAGCCACACTGATGTTGGGCATTGGTCACCAACAGAGCCACGAGCCTTTTTCAACACCAGCTTGGGTTAGGAGCAGCAGCTGGAGCTGAGATGAGGTGGGCACAGCAGCATGTCCATGACCCTTGCATGGTCTCGTGTCACCAGTTCTTTGGGCATGGGTAACCTACAGTACAGACAAAAACCTCATGGATATCACTGCAGATGGGGTCACAGTTGCTCAGTGTATGCTCATCACCTTTGTTTCTTCCTTCCAGCCTGTTTTGTATATTGCTATTCAAGAGAAAAGCAGTCTCGCAGCAAGAAAGGCCAAAGTAGTTTGATGCATTACCAAACACAGAGAAAACCATTTGCTTTATGAAACAGAGGGTGAATTTTCTGCACAGACACACATTTTATCGTTATTACACCTTTCCATGGGATTGCAATGTAACTGAGAAGGTGATTACCAGAAACAGAATATCTGTTCGTCTTAGAGCTTCTTGGTTTTGCTTTTCATCTGAGGTTTACATATCGAGCAAGAAAAACAAGTTATCCTGCAGGTGACAAAATGGTCTGTTGTTTGCTGTACTGAACAGCAATTCAAAAACTGGGCTTAATTCTGTATTCAGCTCTCTCTTTTCTGCGCACAACTGAAAAGCACAGCAGAGCCTGTGTCTCACTTGAGCATTTGTGACAGAGGGATGGCACTTTCCCACTCCACAAGTGGACCAAGCCCACTTATAATCAGGGAGCATTCAGATGAAATATTGCTGAGAGGCACGGTTGCACTGATACACTTTGAGGAGAGCCCTGGCTTTCATCTGGGGCTTTTAAAGAATTCTTTAAAAACCTAGAAATGTTTCAGGGAGTGCCTTGTTTTTCAAAGGTTTTCCTGCAGAAAATGAGGGGGATTTTGCAGCAGAGCAGAGCAGGGGCTGCTCATTTCCCTGTACAGCTGCTAAGCTGAATGGGACCATGTTCTCTGACTGTTTCTGTGAATATGCCCATCATACGAGGTCAGGTCCAGCAGAGATCACTGTTACAGACTAGTAGACCTTTTGGTACAACAGCCCCATGACTTTATCTAAACTTTGCCCATTGCTGGAGAAGGTGTGACCTGACCCAAGCCAGGGCCTCAGCATGTCCCTCTGCAGCAGACTCAGGATTGGTGCCTAGGGTGGAATGGGTGCTTCTGGACCCAAAGCTCATCCTGTGGCTATAGAGCTGTTTCTGAGAACTGGCGACATGAGTGATATCATTTTGTAGGAAACAAACATTAAAAAACCCTCAGTGAATGACCATGTAGGAAGGGAAAGGGATAGCAAAGTCAAGCAAACTGTTTTCAGTCAGCCACACTTATTCTTTCCTGAGTTTTTTACTCCTTCCCATAAGAGCTACTGCTGTGTGTGCCCAGGCCCTCCTGCCAGGACAACTTTGTGATGTGGAAGATGAAGAAAGTATTAAGTATTTGGAGTATCAAGTTTTTGTCCAGTCCCTTAGGTCCTCCTGGCTGGTGATGATGAACTGGCTTTTGGACTGAGTTGTCATAAACTCTAGGAGTCAGTTTCTCGGAGTCCAGCCTCTGGCTCCTGCAGCAAACAACGCTTTCCTCAGTGTTTACCCAGATGATGGCCCTGCATCATGTCCTTGGCCAGCATGGAGACCTTTTTTCTCACTCTCAGTCTTTTATTTCTTCTGGACCTTTGTGCTTTACTCTGACCAGCCTTTGCCTTTCCATGACAAATAATTACATAAGGTCGCTGAAAACAAACAAATATCATAAGGTCGCTGAAAAAAAAATAGACATAATATCCCTTTGTGCAATCCAAAACACCTGGGCCTGAAAGCACATCTTCATGGCTTAGAATTTTGCTGGTATTTCGGTTATTTTTTCCCGTCCATGCTTGGAATGCTGAAACATCTGTGCCCTCCTGTGATTGCATGCAGGCTGTCTCAGATTTTGCAATGAAAACAAAATTATATGGATCTGGCAGCCTGCATCATGCATGTCATTCAGCAGATGCCAATAACAGTTGAATATTAGATATTATTAAGGAGAAGATGTAAAATAAGGCTGTGAAAGGGCATATGTTGGCTGGTAGCAAATATCTTCCAGATGCTTGGAAGCATAAGATTCAGCATAGGAGTTACATACTTTGATAAAACTATTGCAACATTGCTGCCAGCTCAGTGTACATATTTCAAAACAGAAGGATTTGGGGAACCCTTAAGAGAGAAAGACAAAAAACCTCCCAGCATCTTTGCTGGCTTATACCAATGTCAACACTGACTAGTAAAGGTAGACACATCCATTCCTAGTCAAGAGCCCATAGCTATCATAGCACTGAGATTTGCTGCACAACAGGGTTGGGATCACTGTGGCAGTTCAAACCATGAGTGCTCCCTGCATTTTGCTACTTGGTCAGGAAATTTAGAAGGATGAAGCAGATGAACTGACCTTGTTTTTCTCACAGGGCTGGTGCCTGAGTTGGCTTCAGGAGGCCTAAGGAGGGCTGATGGCTCCCGTGCCCAGCCACTACTCATGGCTTTGCAGGGGATGGTAAAGGTGCCTTGCATGGGCACTGATGCTGCAGGACCTGCCTCTGAAACCCATCAGCTAGAATCCAGCTGGTGTTGCAATAGAGGTCTCCTCAGCATCCTCCCTCCGCCTCCTTGGGGTCATTCTTAGAAAAAGGGATGGGCAAGTACCAACACCTGTGGTGGGCGGCAGCTGTGGAGGACCTATAGGTGCCATGGGAAAAGCACTTGGGCACTCTGCCTGCAGCACCTATTTCTGGGGGGGTGGAGGCAGGTGGGAAGGGACCTGCCTGTGTCCAGCAAGGAGGAAACCTGACTCCTGGGAGCTGGATCCCAAACCGACAGCACCGCCAACACTGTAAAAAGTAAATAGCAGAAGAGATAAAGTCATAAAGGAAGAAAGGTCTGCTCCTCCATGCCTGAGACACTGCAGAGGTAAGAAAACTTCATTAAGTAAATAAATATTTAGTTAAATCTTGCTTAATCGTGGAGGGTATCTGATCGTTCACCTGTGAGGGGAATTCTCACAAGAAGGAGGTCTCTGACTTTACTGACAAAGTTCCCAGCTGGTGTCACATGTAGAATTGCATGTTGTGTACCCTTCGTGCCTCACAGCCCTCTGGTGTGGGCTCATTGCATTATTCTGATGGGTCCCAGCAGCAGTTTCACTGTGTTCTTGGTTGGTTTCTTCAAATGGAGGATTGTTATTTTCCCTGCCAGCAGCAGCTTTGTCACTGCTGTTCTGCTGGCTCAATGTAATTGGTATTTATGAATTGGGAATTACAAATAGTGGGAAATTTGTGACTCCCTGAAGATGCATGATAGACACTAGCTGTTCCATTAAGGCAAACAGGGCTGCAAAGGTTTGGCATGAAATCCTGGGTGTGGTAGGAACTGTTAGGAGGTTTACTGTGCCTGCAAAGATTTCTAGTGTTATTTGAGATGCTAGAGAATGTATCCCACCTGCTCACCTGCTGCTATATGAGTAGTGTGGTTCTCCTATTAGGTGCTATGCAACATCCTGATACCTCTGAGGGTGTCTGTCTACTGTCAGGTGTTGGAGGTGGTACTGCAGCCTTCTGCCTGAGCACCTGACCCTCACTGGTAGTTCTGCACAGCAGCACCAAGGATTGGGGTTCCCTCTCCTTTTCTGGAACAGTTGTGGTGCTTCCCAGAAGGAGGGCACACGGCCCAGAGCAGGTAAGTGCCAATGAAATGTTCCAACACCACTCAGCAAAAAATTTGCAGAGCATCCCAGCATCAGGAGGGGTGGGCAAAGGCCCAGGGCTTGATCCTTGTTCTGCCAACACCCTGGGCTGTGCCTGCCACAGGCTTTTGGAAGCAAGTAGCTGTTTAACCAGACAGAGGTGTGATGTGGCAGCTTAGAATGTGTTTGCAGGTCCCTAGTCATAAAGGAACAGAAAAGGAAAAAAGCTGGTGCCCAGATCTTGTTATTGCAAAGCCTTTTGCGATTCAGCCACACAGTAAATCTTTACCTCTTCTTGCGGGCTGTTCCAAGCACCTTCTTTTGATTTCTATTGAGCTGGTTCCACTTGGAAATGGTCCCTAGCTGCTGGCCATCATGGTCAGATGGTGGCACTGTGTGCTACTGCCAGCTATTGCTGCCTCTGAGGACACTGTGAGACTGATGTAAGCAATATCCTACACATCCTCTTGCAAGCTGGACTGTGATGATCTATAACAGCAAGGTCAGTGTATGTGACCCGACTGAGTAATCTGCCATTAGCCCTTAATGACCTCCTTGTGACTGCACCTCGGTCTAATGCTTTCAAGGTATCCAGCCTGTGAGTACTGTAACTCCATGCTTTCCATGTTTGTGCTGCCCTTTACCTCAGCTGGGGTTTTGGACCTTTCATTAGACGTTCTCGGCCTTTAATTCCCTCCAGTTCTCCCCCCCACCACTGCAACCTCCCCAGTGCTGGTTTGCTGTGAGTTCTGTGTGGGCCAAAGCCAAGCATCCCTAGAGAGAGGTAATCAAAGCAGAAGGGGTCATCAAACTGAAGATTGAGCCCCACCTCACCCCCCCCCCCAAGTGTCTGAGCATGCACTCAGCAGAAAAGCTTGCGGGTTAAAGCAAGCAGTGTGCTTAATCCCCACCCTGGGATTAAAATGAGCTTTTCTAATGAGGGAAAGCAGCAGTAATGAGGCCAAGGGATCTAGCACTGGAAGCCAGAAACACCAGCAGAGGCAGTCAGCTTCCCCCTGTCGCAATCCAGAACGCATAGCTGTGTTTCTTGATACCCTGAGCGGAAGGGGATTAGTGCGGCAGGGGGTGAGGCACAGGATCAGGTTTGCAGCAGGAAGCTGTGTGCTGGCAAGGTGCAGGCTGGGTAAGGAGGAGTTCAGGCTAGCCATGCCATCTTCAAGCAGCCGGGGTTGGGAAGTTGGCTGGGTAACCTGGCTCTGCCCCACTGGGGGCTCCAATCAGGCTGAGCAATTACAGGGTGCAGCACCTCTACTGCCCACTCAGCCCCAGCTCCCATGGGGGAGCCTCCAACAGGGACAACACCCTACTGGTCATATCATGTCTTGGCTCTTGAAGGTGCAGCATCTTTTAGACTGGCTCTGCATCTCATTGTCCTCTGGGCTAGGAAGGTTGTCACATGCTGCCTTGTGTTAGCAGGTCTCTAGTCTTTCTGAAGGCAGTCCCTGAACTTTCCATAAAAACAGCAGTGTGATAACTGATCTCTGTCAGTTCAACTAACTTGCCTTGTGAAGTTTCTATGTGCTCCTCACCAAAACCATGATGGGAAGCGATATCTCCCAGTAGCTGCATGAAACAAACTCTGTTTGACTGTATCTGAATGTTTCCAGTCCAGCACAAGAAACTGCCTTGCTGTCTTGTTGCTCATATGACTTTGTGACTGTACACAGTTAAATCCTAGCCTTGTGTGATGGTGATGGTGGATCCCGGCAGGAGCTGAGATGGCCACTGCACCAAAAGAGGCAGAAAATGCTATTGGCTTGGAGGAAATCCACACGGAGAGCAAAGAATCACCAAAAGGTGGGTTGTATTGGCAGGACTAGAAATCTGGGTCCTCGTTTAGCTGGGGTAGGGGGAGGGTCCTCAGTCCTGCTACTCCAGCTACCTAAATCCTCTGTAAATGGAGCCACAAACAGCATCATCATGCCACTCCTCTCCCATCACAGCTACCAGGCTGGTGACTGCTACCTACAGTAGTGGGAAGAGCTGGCTGGCTTGGCTTTTCTCAGCCCTCTGCTTTGTGTAAACATTTTATTATATGGGTGATTTGATGACTCACTTATTTTGGATATTATTTATTTAAATTTTATTTAAAAGTATTTTAAAGTGAAAAAAATGTTGAAAAGAATCTAAAGGGGCCTGCATTTGCAAAAAACCCCAATTTCTTCTGAAATTCTGCAGCAAGTTCTGTTTCATTTCAGAGGTAGTGTTGATGGGCTTGAGATGACTTCTTTGGAGATAAATGGCCTGACAGAAAAATTTATGCAGCTCTGACTTTACCTAAGTAAGACCTTGAAAGTATGCATATAGTGAAATCTTTCTGCCAAGTCTGTTTAAAAGAGTGTCCCAGCCCTGATCTTGAGGTGCTTCTTTTGCCCATTAAATGAGTTAAAAATGGGTTAAATGCAGAGGGCAGGGGGGAGGTCAGGAATAAAGGTTTAAGGGATGAAATGGAGCCCAGAGCTCAGAGCTGTGCTCATCTTGCCGGACTTGGGCCTGGGGCAGCCCTCAGCTCACACCCCACCTGTGCTGGGAGCAGGTCTGTATCCCAGGAATGCAGAAGGATTGATTCTTGCAGCAGTTTGGGCAGGGGAAGGCAATAGGCCATTGCCCAGATGCCATTCAAGCCATAGGTTTCTGAAGCAGCTGAGGGTAACTCAATACAAGGCTGTCATTCCTGCATGACCACTGGCTGCTGTTTCAGCAACTTCTTACCCTGTCTGGCCACCAGAATGCCTAGGGGCTGGTCAGTGAACACACAACTGGTAGATGTTTCCAGCCTTTTTTCTGGTTCATTGCTACAGGAGCGTGAAAAACGTTGACATTTCACGACAAGGAGGTACAATTTGACTGCTAACGGGTTTTGTCTCTCTATTTCTCGTTGGTGTTCAGGGCAGAAGACATTTACAGTGGAAGAAGCTGTGGAAACCATTGGGTTTGGGAGATTCCACATCATACTCTTCCTCATCATGGGCAGCACCGGGGTAGGTATCTGCAGCCATCTGCACTGGCCTGAAAAAGTGTTCTTATTTTCCTTACTACTGCACAATAATAACCATAAACACTGGGAGCACATATTGTAACCAATTTTTTTATGCACCTACCTTCTCAAGCAGGATTTCTGCTGTTGTCATCTTTTGCCAAAGTAGATATTGGCCACATGGATATCTATCTCAGGGCAAAGCTGAGCAGGATGGCCCAGAGCACCGTGGCTTGCCTCCTGTCAGTGGTACCTGAGGGCTAGATCCAGCCTCACATTGGCATTTTCTGTGTCATTCCCATGATGCCCAAACCCTGTGCATCACAGCACAGGAGGGCTGCCGTCTTCTCATCCTTGGCTACCTGAAAAATTTCCTAACTTTCATGGTCTTGGGTTAATGGTGTATCCACGTTGAGAACTTGGGCAAAAGCCTGAGTCCAGGCTAGGTAAAAGATGTAATGAGGGTACATTCAAGAGAAGCACTGCATCTGAGGTGTAAAAGTCTGTATGCAGAAATGATACCCTCACTCCTAACTGAAGCCAGTTGCTGGGTCAAACAGCCAATGGACCTATGAAGTTTTTAATCAAAAACAGTTTTAAGAGTTCATCTCTATGTTAGATGCCTGAATTCACAGTCAGCTACCTAACGAAGCAGCTTGGTTTCCAGAGGTAGTTGAAGGTCTTCCACTAGTACAGCAGGATAAGAGTCTCCTCTGCCACGGACTGACTCTTTCCAAACTTCCTAGATACACTGCTTTCTAGGTGCACTTTTCTCCCCTCTTCTTCCTGTTGCCAAGTGCTTGCATCTTCCAGATCAAGTGCTGGGCTCAGACCCCTGTGGAGGCACCATGGCTTCACAGGAGCCTTTTGTCATTGTGGGACTGCCAAGATGGCAGGCTTGGTAGGACTGAGGAGCTTTCCCCTGTGGGCTCTTTCTGGTTTCCCTTCTTGCTAACAGGTACACTTGTTTCCAAAGGTGGCTGAAGCCATGGAGATCATGCTAATAGCTGTTGTGTCCCCTCTCATCCGATGTGAGTGGCAGCTTCAAGACTGGCAGGTGGCTTTAGTCACAACGGTGAGTGACTTGTCTATCCCCAAGACAGGTTATCCACCGTGTGGTCACCTTCTGGGGCACCACCACAGGCTTTGTAAACTACACTTCGCAGTGGGCCAAATAAATTCCTAGGGCCTCCTCTCAGGAATAAGAACAGTACCAGAAGAAGAACTGTAGAAAACCAGAAATCAAACCGACAAGAGCAAACTGACAAGTCCATGCACAGAGCTGTAATGCCAAAGCAAGTCCCCACTTTCATATTCTTATTTTGATGTCCTTGCCATCCATTCCCCAGCTTTGAGGATTGAAGCATTGAGTGCCCACACAAAGGAAGTCATCCCCTGACAGCTGCCTTATTCATGGTTCTGGGCACTGCAGTTCATTCTGCTGCCCCAGGAGCATGCAGCTCACCCTCAGTTCAAAGAGTAGAGCTTCCCAGTGCTGCTGGGAATGGGCCCTCCACAGCCGTGTTTCAATTCCCCTTAGATGGTGTTTTTTGGCTACATGGTCTTCAGCATAGTGCTCGGGCTCCTGGCTGACAGGTATGGCCGCTGGAAGGTGAGTGAGTGGTGGGGGCTGCACCACCTTTTCCTGAGCTCCACAGGAGCCATGCACCTGGCTGAGCCTGTGGTTTGATGACCCTAATTTTTCCCCTTTTGCAGATTCTGCTGCTCTCATTCCTCTGGGCAGCCTATTTCTCCCTGCTGACCTCGTTTGCCCCGTCCTACACCTGGTTTGTGTTTTTGCGGGCCATGGTAGGAGGTGGCGTGTCAGGTCACGCGCAAGGGTAAGGCTGTTTCTCATGCTCTGTGGCACGGGCAGCGGCAAGCTCACCTTCCCAGGGAAGTTAACAGAGGCACTGACAGGCCCTGAGGGGCTATATTCCTGGCTTTTACAGCAAGACAGGCCCTCCAGCTCATTTTGGCTGACCCTAGTGGAGCACTGAGTCTCCTTGGCTGAGCCCAGTGAGCTGTGGCTGAGCTGTGACCTGAAAGCGATGGTGGGAAAGGGGCCTTTGGAGGGCTGGAAGGGGAAAGGGGAGAAAATTCCCATATTACCAAAATGCTGTTCTGTAATTTCACTAAATCCTGGTTAATCGACCTAGTTTGCTGTTCCCAGTGACTCTTGAGGCCTGCGATAGAGGGGACAGCTGGTTTACTTTAAGTTGGTGACAGAGGAATTATTAGCACATATAAAAACAATTAGGCAGGTAACGGATTAGTAAAGGCTGTTCCCTTGTAAAAAAAAAGTCACAACAGTTCTGCTTAAGTAGCAAATTCTTTTTGAATGATGTAAAACATTCCCACTTAAATGAAACTTTCTGTCCTCTTGGGGCAGAAAGGGGGATATGGCAGGGAGAAGAGAAATTCACAATATTAACAACCACTTCACTAGGAGCCTGGTAAAAAAACCTATTTCTTTTATCTCTCTCAGGGGGAAAAAAGCTACATTTCAGCATCTTCCATGGTCCCTCAAAGCCTGGTTGCTCCCCACACAGGAAAGCCCAAAACTGGTCATGTTGATCCGAGAGCCCTTTGCTGAAGTAAAGGAAGGAAAACAGGGGAGAGATATAGCTGTGACAAGAAGGCACGCTCTGCCTGGGTCGTGCATCCGCTGAGCTCCTGACACTGCTTCCTTCACAGGAAGGTCCCCATTCCCTGGCAATGGAGGCTGCTAATGAGCCTCATGGGGATGGAGGGAAATTGCACTTTTTATGAAACACTTCACCAGCTGAGACAGAAGGAGCCAATGTGGCTCTTTCCCGATCTCTCTCTCTGTCCAGCCAAGGAAGCACAGTTCACATCTGTGAGGTTCAGAGGTGCCAGTGCCAGGACCCCTCTGCACCAAGGGCTTTTGAACCATTTAAAAGGTGGAACAGTGTTGTCTTCATTTAATGAAAAAAAAAAAACACATCACTAAAACTGTTCATCTTTATGAACATACTCTGTGCCTGTGCTGGCACTCTGATCAGCCCACAGGACCTTCTTGTAGGTTTCCTAATGTACAGACTGCAGTGTTTACCTGCTTGTACCCCACAGCCATGGGCTGGAAAGGATTTATGCCTTGTGGTTCCCTTGCATGGAATTCTGTGCCTGCCTTAGTGGAAGGCATGATGAGCAGGGATTCCCATCTCTGGGTGATCAGTGGTGGAAGGGGGATGATACTCTGTCTGTGGGCATCAGTGTCCAGCACTGGCTGAGCTGAGCTGAACCATTACTTGATTTGTATGGAAATTCTCAGTGTTGCTATATTTCTGCTCTTTTTTTCTTTTTTTTTTTTTTTTTGCTAGGCTTATCATAAAAACGGAATTTTTGCCCACCAAATACCGAGGATACATGTTGCCCTTGTCTCAGGTAAGAAGAGTGAGCCCATTACTGTTTCTTCTAGCTGTGAATCGAGGGAGATTGGTCCCACTGCTGCTGGGAAGCCAGGTCTCCAGCACATCAGCATATCTCCCAGACTGTTCATACCTGTCTGGGTCTGAGTGAGTGTCTGCTGCCTCCTGCACCCTGGAATGTGGCATCTGTGTTACTAAAGACATACACAGGCAGCTACTGCAGAAGAGAGGTAATATCTTTTCAAATAATTTGATGCTCCAAGCATTGTAGGGGGACTTTGAGTGATGGCTGACACCAGCCAGCCTCATGGGGTTACTTGCTCCAGTGGGACCAGTGCTGATGGACCACTAGGCACTGGAGCTAGTGGCATTCCCGGGTCCCTCCAGGCTAAGGCTTATCCCCTCTTGTCACCGCTCTGTGGACCCTCAGTCATAACAAATGGTTTATGCAGAGATTCCCAGATGAGGTGCTAATCTGTGCCTCTCCCTGTCCTTGCTCAGGGATGGCAAGGGGCTTTGCACAGGACAGGGCTAGCACAGATGACAGTCACAAATTTGACCTGAGATATGCTGTGAGGGTTTTGCCTACTTGCTGGGCAAAGACCACACAAGAGTGATTGGTGTTATTGCTTACTGAAGGCTTCTGCAGCGGGCACTTGCTGCATGTGCAGTGGAGACCCCACTGAGCCCACAGATTTATCTCACTGTTGAACCAAATGTGTTTGGTGGCAGGGGCAATTCACTTTTCACTACAGCCTCTTTGATCCCAGGGCATCATTACCAAAGTGTCATCAGAAACACAAGAGTTTATAAAAGAACAATCTTGTATTTCTCCCAAGAAATTTCTTATTTCTGCACACAGATTATTCATGAACTTGCTGTAGCTTTTATGTATTTTTATGTAATTTGTGTTGGCTGAGCTCCTTTGGGTGGCCCCCTGGAAAGGGATGTCTCCTAATGGCAACAAGTGAACTACAGGGAGGAATGTACATGCAGATTGGAGGCCAGATTCTCTGTTGGTATTGCTTGGCATTGAGTCTGCTGGAGAGCCACCAACTTTCAGCAGTGGAAATCTGGCCTGTTTTTGCCTTCGGAGCTTGTAAATCTGCTGCTTCCCTGCAGAGATTTAGACAAGAGGAAAATTCATGAGCAGTAGCAGAGAAGTGACTGGAAGGACAAAAGAAGTGGCTTTAAGTACAGTGGTACTTAAAGAAGTTATCTGTTTTCATCTGGAGCTAATTGAGACTATCTTCAGCTGTCCCTCCCCAAATTCTTGTCTTTTCCTCTTTCCTGCCACCCAAGGTCAGCTTCTCAGACGACCATGGGATGGCTCAGTTGAACCTTAGCCTTCCCTAGCACAGTTCCCCACCTATCTGTAGAATCAGACCAGAAGGGAAGAAAATAAACAAATCATGGCCACGTGTTCATGTTGTAACTCCTTTCTTTCCCTTGGAAAGGTGTTTTGGTTGGCAGGATCTTTGTTGATCATTGGCCTGGCATCAGTGGTGAACCCAACCATCGGTTGGCGCTGGTTGATCAGAATTGCTTCCATCCCCGGCATCCTTCTCATCCTGGTGTTCAAGGTAGGAAGATCTCCACTCCCCACTGCACTGCCACTGACCTGATGTCTCCCCAGGAGCCAAGAGGCATTGCCCTCCACCTCCTACAAGGCTGTCCTTGGGTCCTCCTTTCACAACTTCAGTCCCCTCACCCAGGGGCTTGGTAAGGTCCTGATGGCCTGGTGGGGCTGCAGACCAGCTGCTGGGGAGATGTCACCTTGTCAGGGATGGCTTGGCTTTGCTGCTCCCCTGTAGCCCTTCAGCACCCCGGTGTCCAGGATGCCAGCAGTACCCAGGGATTGGGGTGATGGGCCAGGCACCGAGAAGAAGACAGGCTAGGCAGGGTATGCAAAAAATCTCAACTAATATCCTCACTCTACTGCTGGACACAGTACACCCCCTTCAGTCTTTAAATTTTCTATGGCTGAGGAAAGCACCCTCAGTAAAGCGTTCATGGAGCAAATGCATGTCAAAGTTGACCACAGCTTCCCCAGGTTTAAATTCAGCTTCAGAACTATCAACCTCAGACATACCACATCTTATTTGTGGGGGTGATGTGGAAAATCCCTACTTACAGTGTCCACAGGCACTGCAGTGGTGAGCTGTGGCTGGTGGAAGCCACGCAGATGTAAAAGCCCTTCCTGCAGCTGAATGAATGCACAAATCCACCTGGGGTGCTACCTGGGCAGGCAAATGCATCCACTTGTATAACTTTGATGTTTGGTTTCCCTGATTATTTTTGCCAGAAAAAAAATTGATAGCAAAAGTTTTTAGTCCAGAAGAAAAAACAAGACTGAGTCAGCATAAGTGCCTCTAAAAAAAAAGGCAGTCTTTAATTCATATTTTCAGATGTAATTGCTTCTAATTTAGAAGTATTTTATTTTGGAAAAAACACTGGGTGTGGGTGAACGTTGTAAATGCTAGTGAAGAGTGAGATAGTTCCTAAATTTCAACTATGCTTTTCTTTTTATTAAAATGGTCTCGTTGTGTCTTCAAGGACTTTTGCTTAAGTCAGTCACATGTGCCTAATCTCATTTTAGAATGTCAATTAATTCAGGGTTGGTTTTGTTAAGCCTGTGTCTTTGGCTCCCACCTTTCATAAGTGCTTGACACAGATGGCTCAGTGGCAGACCCCTGGGAGCTGGACCAAGAAATGGGTTTGTTGGGCAGGGTGAGCCTCTCAAGCAAGGGATGTGGAGACCTGGAGCAGTACCCCATGGCTGGGGAGGAGAACAGGCAAAAAGCTGCTTTGGCTCATGGAGTGCCTCTGCTAACCTGACCAGGCTACTGGGTGTGACAGGAAGGGTGCAGAAAGGCTTTCTGATGCTGCTCTGCTTTCAGTTCATCCCGGAGTCAGCACGGTACAATGTGTCCACGGGAAACATGGGCGCTGCCCTGGCCACGCTGCAGAGGATAGCCAGGATGAACGGGGCGGCTATGCCAGAGGGGGTGCTGAGGGAGCCCGCCAAGGTAAGTTGAGGCTGCATCACTGCCCAGCCCATCCATCCTGGGCTTTTCTTTTGGAGAGACATTAATCTTGGCCCTCACAATGGAATGGGGTTTTCTGCTTTTTTTCTTCTCAATTTGTGTTCACTCAAAAAAAAGATACTGTGCTAAGAAAAGATTTGCTTCCTTTATCATGAAAGGGGCTCCTGGCAAAGCACATTCTTCCTTATTGCCCATCCATCCCATAGGGGTGTTCCCTGTGCCATGAGACCTTGGAACTGCCTCTTGGGGTCCCTCTCAGGGCTGTGAGCAGGCAGGCTGCAAGGATCCCTGCCATGAGGTCAACTCAGTGCTGCCAGAGGCTTCTCCCAGCCCCTGGCCTGGCTTGTCCACTGTGTCCCAGCACCCCAGGTTCCCTGAGTGTGAAGCCACTGACCAGAAGAAGAGGATCAAAACAGGAGAGACCATTTCACAGCTACCATCATCTGTACCTGTAAGCAGCTAAGCAGCTCAGGAGTTGATCAGTGCTGGACTGAAATGCCCAAAAGTGTGTGTGGTTGTTTCAGGGCAGGCAGGAGAGGAGCTGGGGGCCAGGCTCCTCCCAGGCTTTTTCTTCTTACCTCCCAGTCTGGCCCTGCTGTCTGGTAGGTGGGAGTACTTAGTCAGGTGGCTCCTTTGGCCCCCAAGAGAGGAGGATTAGACAAATCTATTGTCCAGGGCCTCAAAATTAGTATCCAGTTCTTTTAAGTCCCTTTCCTGGACCTCTTTGCTGCTTATTCAATCCCACAGGCACCAAGCATTGTCCTTAGCAACTCATGCAAGATGGTGCTATTGTATTGGAATTAATTGGGATTAAAGCTTCCCTGTAGTTTAATTGAATTTATGTAATGGACACACATTGGCTGTGGGAAGCATTTTTGTTAGTTGTGCACCATCTCAAGCTTAACCAACGACCAGGAGAATAAAACTAAAGGCAACCCAAACCACCCCTGTGAACTCATCTCCCCTCAGTGGCGGGATGCTGGGGCAGCTGGTTCCTGGGGAGCAGCAGGGCAGGCAGGGTCCCTCACTGCCTGCCTGTGTCTGTGTTCATGGGCATTTGAGCACTTCAGGCCAAAAACTTGCTACATAGGCAGAGCAGCACGTGGGGCAACGGGAGCTGACAGCAGCCCCAGCAGTGCTGGCCCCATAAGCAGCAACCAAGGCCCCCTTTGGCTCCATCATGGTCACACTGGGGCCAGACTGCTGGGATCTGTGGGACCTGCTGGGAGTGCTCAGGATGTTCTTTCTGCCCCCTTCCATCCTTTGCAATGCATCCTCCTGTGGGCATCTTTTGGGAAGTGGGGCTTTCCTCTCTGCAGGTTTTGTGGGGTGCTGTGTTGCACCGTCTGTCAGTCTGTGCCAGTCAGCCTGGGGAGAGGGCAGGGAGGCCTGGGGTGCCAGCTGCTGCCACAGGACACTTGTTCCTGTATAAAATATGCCCTTTTTATAACTTCTTTTTCTAACATATGGTTTGCAGGAAAGGGGAGGAAGATTCAAGGACCTTATGCACCCCAAATACCTCAGAACCACTTTGCAGATATGGATCATATGGTAATTTTTTTTCCTCTTGTTTATCATCTCATTCTCTCTGTTGAAAGTGTGCAGGGAGCAGAAATGTCCCGTTGACTCTGCCATTACAAGGCACCACTCTGCCTCAAATGGTGACTGCAGATCCTTGGCAGCTGGTGGGGAGTATGCGGACGTGGATCACCACAGGTTTGCCCTGATCTCAGACCATTCCTCACACACCCTGACCAGTTGCTGTTAAGAGAGGCAGAAAAGGTCTGGACATCCAGGACGGTGCAGGGTGCCATGAGTCCTTTCTCAGCACCAGAGAAAGCCCCCACACCCACCTGTAGGGTGCACCAGCCATGTGCCTGCGACTCCGCTTCCCTTCTTGGTGTAAACTTGTTCTTCCCAAGAGGAGGACAAATGTACCACCTTTGCAGGCCAGCCAAAGTCCCAGCGAAACAGGGCTCTGACAGAAACACATTAACAGGTACCAGTGCAACTCACTGGGGAAAATTAAGATTGAAGAGATAGGTTTCATATGCAATGTTCCCAGTAACTGTATGCGAGCATAATACATGTTTCATTGACTTTGCTGTCTGGAATGGAAATGTATAAATAATAGGTCCATGGGAACACACTGATCCCAAAACGTTGCTAGCCAGGCCTTGAATTTTTTATGGGTTTTTTTTCTTCTTGACTTGTTAGGAGTGTTATGAAATATCTTTTTTGGTTTTTAATCTTCCTTTCTCTCCTAGTCCTCTCAGGAGTTTTGCCATGTTCTTGAGTTTGCATTCCCACCCCTCCATGCCCCAAGCGTCCCCTGCTTCCCTAGGCAGCCCAGATTCTGCTGGTTGTTTCTGAAACTGCCAGGAGGGATAAAAAAGTGGAAATTACTTCTCAGCCTGCTGATGATTATGGATATGCTGAATTACTTGATAACAACAAGGCAAGGCTACCATCACCAATTCTGTTTTCTTGACAGCCAGCCAGGGTGCAATGTGAGCCTCTCCAGCCAGTTAATGAAAACTCCTCTCGAAAATCCCTGGGTAGAAGGGATAAGGACTAAAAAATAACCTGGGTATTTGCTTCATGGGAGCTTAAAGTGTTGAGGCCTGACACTGAGACTCCTTGGTTCCTCAGGAAGGGGGTTGTTTGGTAATGTCTCCACTTACAACCCTGCAGTAGGAAAGGGACTGAAGGGGCAGGCTCTCTTCCGCATGGCCACAGCAGGTCACCTGCTGCAGAGCAAGAAACAGAACTAAGGGGCAAGCAAAATGACAAGCATAATGACAAGCATAATGACTGTGGTGGGTTGACCCTGGCTGGATACCAAGTAGCCGCCAAAGCTGCTCTATCTCTCCCATGTTCAGCTGGACAGAGGAGAGCAAATAGGAATTAATGCTTGTGGGTCAAAGACAGGGAGAGATTGCTCACCAATTTCCATCATGGGCAAAACAGACTTGGCTTGGGGACATTAATTTCATTAATTGCCAACCAAATTATATTAGGGTAATGAGAACTAAAATGAAATCTTAAAACCACTTTTCCCTCACCTCTCTCTTCTTCCCAGGCCCAGTTTCACTCCTGATTTTTCTCTCCCTCCTCCCCTCCATGGGAACAGGGAATGAAGGCTGTGGTCAGTTCATCACATGTTGTCTTTACTATTCATTGCTCCTTAAGGGGGAGGACTCTTCACACTCTTCCCTTGCTCCAGCATAGGGTCCCTCCCACAGGAAACAGTCCTCCATGAATTTCTCCAATGTGAGTCCTTCCCATGGACTTCACGAGCTGCTCCAGTGTGAGTCCTGTGAGTCCCTCCCACTATGAGCTTGCGTGGGATACCTCAAGGAAGGACCTAGATTGCAGGGGTGTGCCATGGCTGGGCTGACCAGTGGCCTGGTGGGTGCCTGCTCTGCTCAGGCTAAGAGTTGGTGAATGCAGAGCAGGTCTCAGGGCACCCAAAACCTGTTGCATTTTAGTTTCCTCACCTTCCCCATCGTAGCTGCACCTAACTCATCTTTTCTCCCCACAGGCTTGGCATAGCTTTCGCTTATTATGGTGTCATCTTGGCCAGTGCTGAGTTACTGGAGCGGGACGTCGTCTGTGGCTCTGCGGCCCCACCGGCGCAGGACTCTGATGATGACTCTGAGGAGAGCCACAGCCCCTGCCACTGCCACTTGTTCGGGCCCACCGCCTACCAGACCATGATCATCAGCACAGCCGGAGAGATCGCACGTAACCTCTTCTCCCCTCCTTGCCCTCCCAGTCTGGCTGCAGACAGCCAGAGCTCACCCCAAAGGTTTTAGCCGTGGGTGCATTGCTGGCAACTTCTGGGACACAGGCTGTGAGCCTGTGGCAAAGGGGAAATGGAGGGCATTGTTCCCCAGGTGAATAATTCAGTTTCTGATGACAGCACAGATCCTTCGAAGAACAGAGCCCAAGACCTCCTTTGCATTTAGTACGTGCCAGGGGAAATTGCTCTTAACTTAACAGAAATGAGCCTAACTTCCCAAATACCAAGATACGCAGATTTTGGAAAGTCATAAATAAGCAAGGATTGCAAATAGTCAGATTGGCATAATTGAACATATCACACAGGTGCCCTACTTTCCAGGAGATGGTGGCCTTGGGAGCAGATCCTGTGCTGAGCACTACACTAAAGGACAGTTAAGTGCCCAGGGAATCTACAGCAAACCAAAATGCTCCCTGGTGCAGCCTGCCTGGGAGCACTGGGGGATGGATGGTAGGATGGCCTAAAGCATCCATGTGGCACTTTTGAAAGAACTTGGTGTGGTGTGTGGGTCTAGTGTCACAATATGCCTGAAAGGCCTGTGCTGCTCACCCAGCAGGTGCCTTCCTTGCATGGCTCAGGACAGGCATTGGTGCCCTGCCTCAGCATAGCAGGGCATCTTCAAAGAAGCGCAGGCTCCATCACCTGAGGGGAAGGTTGGAAAAAAGGAGCATGGGGGCAAATTACAGGGTTTGGGAACAGGAAAAGAATTATAGGGTTTGTGCATTTTATAGAACATTTGGTAGGCATTGGGGATGCAGAGAGGTGTCTTTGAGGCACACTGCATAAGGCCTATCAAGACAGGCAATCGTTGCAGTCAGGTGATCTAATGTTTTATGGTTTTCCTTTTTATCTCCAGTAAATCCTCTGAACATTCTTGGCATCAATCTCCTCGGAAGACGCCTGAGCCTGTGTATCACCATGGGATGTACAGCCCTGTTCTTTCTTCTCCTTAATATCTGCACCTCAAGGTACTCTGACTCAGACTGCAGGTCTTCTTGAGGGGCACACAGTGCTGAGGGTGAGACCTATGGTATTGTCAGGTTACCAGTCTTTCAGGCCAGAAATTCTTTTAGACCTGAAAAAAAGCCTCTGAATTTTCCCCTCTTCCTGGGAAAGCTGTGGCAGCAGATGCTGCATATTGATGCCCCCAAAGGCGCAATGGAACTGCTCAGAGACAGTTTTGAGTCTTTAAGCAGCAAAAGGTATTTATTTCAAGCAATGTTGGGGAGACTAGCCAGCTTGTGCTGGACAAACTAGCTCCGAAGTTATCAGTGAAAAGTCTGGTAATTTATACAGTTTTGGTGAGTGATTACAACATCTTTACATGCATATTCATAGAATTGCAATATCTAATCATAATATTCATAATAGGTGGAGTCTGGGCGGAGTCTTCTTCTGGGGTGCTGTTTTGGTGATCATTGCTGTTTCTTCAGCCTCAAGGGGATTGTATTTTACTCTTCTTCCTCACTTAAACTTCTCAACTTTCTTAGTTTGCTGACTTCCTGATGGTAAATTTTGCACGATTTTGGACTCATGCCCCTATTTCGCCCCTTATCTCTTAAGGAACTCTTCCTTCATGTTCTTATCTGGGTGTGTGAGCATTTCTGGCATGTGAGCACTATCTTGGATGCAGGGTATCCTTTAAAATTCCTAAGACCTAGCTTCTATCTCTAACTAAGCATTTTAAGTTAACTCTTTAGGCCTTTGCTTGGCTTCAATATGCAGCAGTGGTGTGCAGAGGGGCTCACTTGTATAACTGAGCCCACATCACTTCACCTAAGCATACAACAAGCTGCTTTCTAGCACAGTCTGGAAAAGAAGTAATATTTTTCATTCACTTTTTTTCCCCTTTCTTTTTTGGCAATGCAACATATGTCTGCTCTAATTTGTATAGTCAGGCCTTTCAAGAGAAGGTCTGCCGTGAGTGCTGTAATTTGTCAGGATGTCTAAGATTGATCCCTCTCAAGCTGGCAGAGCTTAATGGTTCCTGAGAATCAGGATGGCTTCACACTGAAGTTTCCTCTAAACCACCTGGTAGCCTGAAGGCTGCTCACCACAAGTGTACATCTCTGCTGCCTGCCCCGGGGCACACTGGTCCTGCAGGCTGGTTGAAATACTTGGGAGCTGGAGTGGAACCTGCAAATAGTTGTTAAGCTAAATAAACCGGTGTCAGGAAACTTCTAGTCATTCAGTGAGCTTCTGCACTGCTGTAACTATTTTCAGGTTTCCTTAAAGCTGAGCCTGACCATAATATCTTCTTGCAGAAGTTTTATACAGGAACCAAAGGGAAGGACAGGTTGGAAGTCAAGTCTTGACCATGATGCTGAGGGCACCACCTGAAACACTCATTCCTCCAGCCTCTTACTGGCTTAAAGGAAACCTTACATGCAATAGCCTGCTGTCAAACGTGCCTTGACAATGGACAAAGAAAAGATTCTACTTGTCAGCAAACTTTTCCTTGTGCTTTCCCTTATATTAAGCTGGTAAAGGCCTTAGCACAGTGCATATATTAGGTTGTATCTGCTGATTGCTGCTCAGTGACACTAACTCTGCCCCATATGGCTTTCTCTCTAGCACAGGCATGGTTGGGTTTCTCTTCATGCTGCGTGCCTTGGTTTCAGCAAACTTCAACACTATCTACATTTACACAGCAGAGGTAGGTTCTTGAAATTTGTTGTGCTGCTTGGAGGCTTGAAATACCATTTGCATTTACCCAGGAATGCTACCTACTAGTCTATTGACTACCTAGTCACCTTTCCTGAAGTAAGTATCTCTGGCTTCCTCGCCACATTGTTTTCATATGCAAGATCAGAAAAGGAATCAGAAAACCAGCTGGAAGTAGGTGGAAGATGAATGCTCTACTGAGCCAGCTGTTGGTCAGCTGCTGAAAAACACTATTTTTGAGGATATTTGGTACCACCATCTTTCAAAACCCCACAGTCTTTCCCCTCTCTAACTCCTGCACTCAGAAAATAGACCACCACTAAAAGGAACCTTTTCCAGCACTTAAGGGACTGATGTAGTACTGAGGTAGTATATGAGGTTATGTATATCATTCTTCACACTTAATGGAAATTGCTGTGTTCTATCTGCAAATAGTTTTAATCCTTCAGAAAACTTTTCCTTCATACAGCTTTGGAGCCACGAGTTCTGCAAGTTAAGTATGCATTGTTGGTTTTTGTTTGGTGTGTTTCATTTGTTGGGGGTTTTTTTGTGTGTGTGTGGTTGTGTTTTTTGTTTTTGTTTTTGTTTTTTTAACAATTGTATAGAGTTAAATGTATTTCCTTGCAAGTGAGTAAACTGATACAGAGCAAACACAAGTAGCTCCCCATGTTAGCCTGATAATTCTTTTAATAGTGAACTATCATATTTAAACTTGCACCAGGCTTGAATAAATACCAAAATTTTAGTAGTTTTGATTGGTGTTGATGTAAAGAGCATTGCTGCAACAGCCACATCATAAAACAATTCTACTCATAGTTTAATCAATGGTAAAAACCAAACATGAAAATCCCCTTTCAAGCCATGTACCTGGACCCTTATTGAATTAACCTACTCCACTCACTTGGCCCAATAAGGTATTTAAACAAAGGCTCACGTGAGTATACTTGCTAAAACCTGTTAAGAGGACTTAAGTTAAACAAAATTCATACTTAAGAGTGTTTTATTGGGACAGGTGTTTGGGAGATGTGAAAGATTACACAAACCACATTCTTCTAAGCCTGGAGGTTTCTTACTGGGACTGTTTTTTCTTTTTCCTCCTTCTAAACAAAAGTGCTGTTGATAAAAATGAATAGGCAGTCTTGAAGGCTGCAATGTCCTTTCTTCCTGCTCTTCAGTAATGGGCCCAGCAGTATTAATTGAATTCTTTCTTTAGCACCCAACTCTGACTTTGGTGTGAGCTGCCCAGCATAGCTGGGAGAAAGGTGACAATAGTGGTGCTAAGCAAATGCAGGGGAATCACATCCAGCTTTGATTGACTTGCCCTAAAACTTTACTTGGGGCAAAAAAATGAGAGATTTGTTATGGCTCAAGTGAGACCCAAAGGAGCCTTTCTTTCTTTTCATTTTTTATCCCACTAGCTGTCCTTGATAACACAACAGGTCTCTCTGAACAAAAATTAAAAAAAAAAAGGTACAGATATCACAGATTGGTGTTGCACTAATCCAGTTTCTTTCTGGCCCGTTCTAGGTTTATCCCACCACAATGCGAGCGCTGGGGATGGGAACAAGCGGGTCACTGTGCCGTGTTGGAGCTATGGTGGCCCCATTTATATCACAAGTAAGAGCATGCTTGATAATGTTGGCAAACATTGTGATCATTGCTGCCAAATATAGAGAGATACCCCTGATGTTCATCCAAAGAAAAGGGTGTAATCAATCCCCCTCTCCCGTACTTGGCTGATCTCTGACAGATGCAGCTCTGCATAACTCTCATCATGGAGTTTGGAGTTTGTCTTGGTAGTATTTGTTACTTCCTGAAAGCTCTTGAGATTCATGAGCATTGTTTTTCTATTGTGGAGTCTCTCACCTGTTTTGTGACTTTTTGTGCTCTTTTAATCCCTAATTAAGTGCCAGCCCCCCACACCACCAATGTCATGTTTGATGTTCTTTTGCCTGCAGGTCCTTATGAGCGCTTCTTTCATTGGGGCCCTGTGTCTTTTCTCCTCTGTGTGCATTATCTGTGCGATCTCTGCGGTCACACTGCCCATCGAGACCAAGGGCAGGGCCCTGCAGGTTTGTATCACCACCCCTGCAGCTCCTGCGTACCTAAATGCTGTTTAGAGACTGGAGATGATGATTCAACCAGAATCCAAACTGAACTCTCCTGAGGGTTCATAAGCCAGATAGGCAAGCACAGGGACATGCTGTTGCAGCAGCTTAAAGCAATGTTATCCCAGCTGCCTGAAGTTCATTTCTTGTAAAAGAACAAACCAGAATGCCAGCCCCAGCCACCAGAGCTAACATGCAAGCATGATAGCTTTAGCTCGTGCAAGCCCCTCTTCATCCTACCTCCCATCCAGACCTGAAGTTACCACTTCACAGGCACATGTTCTGGTTTGCCTGTGCTGCAAGGAGAGAGGGCAGCAGACGCATGGAACACTTTAAACTACAAAAGCCATTTCTTCGCCAAATTTAAGTCTACAGCCCCATCTCCATCAGTTCATTAGCTAAGCCCCTAGGGTTGGCATTCCCTATAAAATAATCAGCCAAAACATTAAGCACAAAGATTAAGGAGGCAAGTTTAAATTCAGCCTCCCATGTGCAAGTCACACAAGTTTAATTAGGGGAAGTGGTGAGCTTTTCTGTGATTCCAGTCAATTCATCTGTATCGGCATGGAATGTATGCAGCATGGCCACATCACTCTGTGTCACTCTGCAGACTTATCTGTATAAGCCAGAACACCATGGGCTAAATAATCCATATTCTTTAGAAGCCTATGGCACAGCAGATGTTTGATCAAACTGGTTTATGAGGGCTTCAGAACCAGATTTCAAAAACCCCACATATGCAAACACAGGTGTATCTCACACACACACACACACACACACACACACACACACACACACACACACACACACTCACTCTTAACTTCATTGGGTCACATCTTCTAAGGTTCCCCCAAGGTGCATGGGATAATTAACATTAGGATTTTAAGGGTTAACAAATTAATTGCTGCCTGCTTCATTAAATGGCTGCCTTTTAGAAAAGCATGTGCTTTATGGTTTTATGTAATTTAAAGTATCTGTATAATATTTCCTAGGGGGGGGAATCAAAGTTTACATAAGGAAATGGACAAACCGACCTATTCTTCTCTTCTGGGTGAAATTCAAGCCCATGCAAAGAGGCCAAAGAGCCACTTAGGCCTTCATAAGGTTGGATTTACAATAATTACTAAGGAAAACACTTCATTAAAACCGCTTTAAACATAAAAGAAAAGCTTTGATTCAGCTACAGCTGGAATAACTTTGGTTAACAGCAGTTGAGAAAAATACAAGTATAATGGTTCCTTAATGGGATCTCTCTTTTCCTGGGGCATTAACTCAATGAATTTATTATCTTCCTTGTTACAAACAAATTATAAACTCCAGCTGCTGGCCTGTACATGGCACAAGTCAAAAGAATGGAAAAATAAAAATCTGTAGAACTAGTTGTGCAGGCAGAGAAACATCCTTTAGGTCTTAAATTCAACTTATGACTCTTATCTCATGGTCATTTAAGAGGTCACATTTCTGTTGCGTAGCCATTCAGGGACTGATGAATTATGACTGTTGAACATGCTGTCCAAGGGCCTCACATAGTATAGTCATCCAATCCACACAGAAATTTAAATACATGGTGTAAAAGCTCTTCTAACATGGCAATATTTAGTGCTAAGGCTCCAGGCAGTAGATGTGTTCCTTAAAACTAGGTCAAAATGAATCAACTACATAAAATCTATGTAAACAACTTTTGTGAAATCTAGACACTGACATTTAAAAAGCAGGTCTGCTCATTTCGGTTTATTAGGACAGTATCAGTCCACTCTCAAAGCAGTCAGGGAATTGTCTGTCAGAAGCGAGACCTTTTGGACACATCCAAATGCATATTATTTTCCAGTGCATCCATTTCTGTTGGTTTTCATGTGCATTTTATTAATTTTATGTATTTTTTTCTTTTCCCTTTTTAGCAAGTAAAATGAAAACGAGCGTTTGATGTTCGACTGGGTAGGAAAGAAAAATAAACCTTTGGAATCTGTCATTTCCTGTGAACTGCATTTGATGTTGACTGCTTCTCCATACCATTTCCATTATAAAAAAATTGCAACTGAACAGTGTGAAAGTTATGATTTTTATAGAAAAATGGCAAATTTCTCAAAGAGGTTCTTTTCTTATGATTTAATAAATAGATGCTTTCTACTCTTCCCGTGAAGTGAGACGATGAGTCCTTACTCCTGTCAGTAGTGACACTGAAAACACAAAATAATTTAAAATAAAAGAGGAAACCCGTTCAGTGAACTGGGGTAAAGGGGGGGGGGGGGGGAAATACACAAAGAAGATATAGTCTTCACCATAGCAGCTTGAAAGAATATAATACTTTCCTCAACTCTGTGCATATACCATCTGCATGAAGAAACAAAAAATTTAACATCTCGAACCTCCTTGCAGTGACAATTTCTGAGGATTGTTAGGGTGATGTCCAAGACCACAAAATAAAAGGTGAGTCATATTTTTTCCAGTGGATTATTTAAAGAGAAACATTTTCAAACAATAACTACAACTGTAGGAGTACATCTACTCTCCTCTCCCCAGTGTTTTCCACTGGGACAACAACTTGAGAGTGGTGCAGCATAGATGTCCAACTTCACCTCTACATGCACTAAGCCTCCTAATAAATCTGTGCTTGCAACTTATGGTCCAGGGAAACACACAGCACCTTCCTCTGGAAGCACTGTTAAACTTGGTGCTGGGGTATCTAGGACTGTGTAGGCTTTGCTAGATCTTTAAGATTTCAAATATTGCCATGGCAGTGCCTCTTTATTTTTTCAGTCTGTGCTACTGTGGTGCGCACTGATAATGCTTGTTCAGCTAGAATGGTCTCCCTCACTACCTTGTTCTGCTCCTTAACCTCTCTTTATTTTTTTTTCCTGGTACTCTAGGATAATACAATAAATTCTCCTGAGGTAATAAAAAAATTTCCACAAAAGCAATAATAATAATAATGATAATAAAACACACAAACAAACTAACAAAAAACACGAAAGAAAAAGGGCAGCATAGAAATCCACCACATGACCAAAAATCCACCTGCTGCAAACACAACTGAGTCATCTTTGGGAGTGTCTGCTACATTTTAGTGTACAGTGCCACCCTCTGACAAAGGCAGGTGGGCAGCATCTTATCTGGTGAGAGGCAAAGCCAGGGCCTTTTTCTGAGTGCATGTGTACACAGCAGGGAGGCACAAACAGCACTTGTATCCAGTCTCTTCAGTGATGTATCCACAGCACCACATCAGGGCTACACAGCAAGTCAAAAGCAGGCTTGTGTACACTCAGCTGTCTTCACAATTCCCACTGAAAAATTCTGGCACAATCAGAGCTCAACTAATCCAAAAGACTGTCTGCTCTCCTGAACACTGAGTTTTCATTTAAGATTACATAAATGAAGATTATAAGCAAATAGCTGGGGCAACCATACACAAGGACTTCTCTAACTCTGCAATATCTGAGGGCAAAACCAACCATCTATGTTGTCAAAGCTTCTGGGAAGTAGATCGAACAAAACAAGGTAAGTCATACTCATCTTCTAGTGATTTTAACAAGGTTCAGATAAAGGAATGAAGAGCAGTATCTTTCTCTTCAAACTTGTGTACTCCCAAATAAGTAACAATGCGTACTTACACTGCTTACAACAATGGTTGCATTATGACAACAACATACTTATGAATTTGGAAAAAGAACAAGAACTTGTGGACAGAAAGGATGATTTTTTTCCCCCTCTTTAAACATACAGAAAGACTGACTGAGAGTTGCAAACAAACTTTCCCATCAACTTCATCAAACAGAGGTACATCACACTTGAGACACCCATTAAACAAAACAGTACAGCAATACCATTGTTTCTTGCTGGTGGTGAGAAAAATGGCGCAAACCAAAGTATTCTGTCCTTTACTTTCTCCATTAAAAACTCTCAAACAAGTTCCTTTTCTTCCTTTTTTCAGAAGTTATTTTTAATACGCCCCCCCCCGCCCTTACATTTTAAAATTCCCAATAAGTTCTTTGGGGGCAACTACACTTTCACTGTACCAATCAGTACTGCAGGACAATAACACCATCTTTTTTCATGGCTTGTGTTAAATACAGTACAAAGAGAACAAATTATGGCCAGCCACATGCCTTTGGTAAAATTAAAAGTCCGGTGAGACCACATTTTCTTCAAACTCAGAAAGCCACATGTTGAAGCCATGTGATGTTTTGAAGTTCAATTCTATACAAACTTCTTCCTCAAAGCAAAGTTAAACAGCTGTCACCCCACAAAATGGCAATTTCTGTGCTGCTCCAGAAAAGAGATGAAAGTTTTGAACTTCAGAGAAGCTCTTCACATGTCTTGATCTCCACAGATTTCTATTTCAGACAAGGGGTAGAAAGTCTGGTAAATATTCACAAACCTACAAGTCAAAACAGTGGTAACAGTGATAAATATTCTCAGTTTTTAAAAAACTTTTCGTAGTAACACATGTGGCTCATTTAAGCAACTGACGGTCTTCTCCTTTGAGGCGTTTTTTCCGGGGTTGTACAAAGTCATCATCTGAGTCATCAGTGAGTTCTGTATTATCTTTTTCACTCTGGACATTAGGTTGTACGGGGAACTTTCTCTCAGGATAAAGGTTCCTTAGAAGTTCTTCAAAGTACGCTTCGAGTTTCATGCCGGCGTCAGCCACTTCTGAATCAGGCTGTTGGGTGAATTAACAACATCAGTGCATCATGAAATAGCTCTATACTTACATCACATCAGATCTTTCAGGCAAAAACTACAGAAAACATCAATCAGCAGCAAGAATGGCACCTGTGGAACACATGGTCCCACAGAGCACAAACCTGCAAAACAGAGCGTGAGGGTAGATCTTTCAGCCAACACCCTCAAGGACTTTTTTCTCTAAAGGATTAACACAGAAGCCAGTCACGAAAGTCATACTGCCTGGGTTCTGAAAGCTATTTGAAGAGATTCTAAAACCTCTTAAAACCTGACTGGGGGGCATGGGGGGGGAAAGAAGTTGTGCTATGCTGTGAAATATGTAGGTATGTCTTCAGGGTGTTAGAATTTCTCTAGCTTACAGTTTTTAATAATGGTGATAATGTTACTTGGTAGACAATGACATTGAGGACTATGCAGTCCTAAAGTCATCCAGAGCCACTACAGCTGATCAGTTTCCTGAAGCAGAGATCACTATGGCAGGAATTATTCCCAGCTATCAAGAGTCTCTGGAGACCCATTGAGGCCACTTAGAGAAGCCTTTATTCCCAGTGTAATTCTCTCTCATTTTGTGGTCCACTCAGTACCCACAACCCTTTTTCACCACGTTCCCTTACAAGCAGTAAGGGATAATAACAATAACTCAACATGTAACTTGAAATCATAAGGGTGAGTACAGAGCTCTCAGAATGAAAATCCCACTGAATCTAAGATCTGCGGCAAGGAAGATTAAACCAATTTTTAAATCAAATGCCCACCATTGTGGCAATTGTCCTTTTCTTTACTTGCTGTCCTGCCATTCAGCTAGCATGATTGTTACAATCCTCCTTCCTTCTGTGGAAAGATCTCCACTGCATAGTCATCTAACACCACAGTAGCATTCAATGTGATCTATATTTTCACTGCAGTTTCATCATCAAAGTAAGTTTAATACAATAAATTCTTGCATTGCAAATTCTACCCCCCATTACAGTTTTCCTGAAAGCAACTAAGCCTACAAAAGTTAAGATTAAGTTTTCTAACCTCATTAAATTCAGCACAGTTTTGGAAAATCAGTCTGAAATCAGCCACAAAATCTTCTGGCTTTGTGTAGAATGAATTGGTCACTTCAAGTCTTCTCTTGATGGTTGACAAGTCCATAGGCTTCTTGATTATTTTGTAGTAATCAGGAACCTAAAGGGAGAAAAAAAATTTCATCAAATGCAGTTTTCTTCACTACTTATAGTTTTTACAAACCTTTAGGTCTGAAGGTATGGGCAGGGTTTTAGTCTCATTTTCAAAGTACAGCTCTGAGATACAAGAATTATACTTTTAACACACAAGCAGACAGTTTCTGGAGTTCGAGTGACATATGACAGCTTTGCTGGCTAAAATATACTCCTTGCAATACTTATGTTAAAATCAAAGATAAACAAATAAAACTTTCACCTACAATGACTACACATAGTAGAGCAAATGACATGGTTTGGAGATGATTATTTTCAGATGTAGTCAAATAAGCTATTTATTAAGACTTATTCTCAAGACCACCATATGGTAACTGAAATGGGGATGGTAAACACGTTATTTAAAATGAGGTTTGGTCATGAAATATGTCCTTAGAAATGGTGACAAATTTTACAGATATCAGTGATTTTGACACTCAAACTGTGGTTGTAGGACTTGGATTTTTTTTTTCTTTAGAAAGAATTAGAAGTTAGAAAAGAAGATACGAAATGCAATGGTAATAATTTTTATACTTTTTTCCTAACTAGATTCACAATTTAAGAGAAATACTTCAATATCTCAATTTAGTTAAACACATGACCATCATATGATTAATCAATTAATCTCCTGCGCCATTTCTTATTATTAAACTCTGTGATTTGTTCTTCAGAATTCTTATTCAAATGCAATAAAGGCTGCATAGGAGCATATTGCTTACTGAATTCCTCCCCCACTGGTTTACTTTAAAGAATATCTTTTCACCTGATCACAGTGGTAACTCTTCTCTGTGTACTTAGACTTCTAATGCATCCAGGAATTGTTTACCATTTTAAATTAATAAATTTCAAGCTAACAATAATAAATTCAATTTCATGTTACTACTACGGAGTACCCTAATTCTCAACATCAAGTAGTATTTAAAAAACCCAAATATATTGCAATTCACCTTTTTAGTGCTATCACTCAGCACATGATATTAGCAGACAAGCTCAGAACTTACTTTTTATCTGCTTTCGAAATACTAAGTAAAATCAATTATTGGGGAATTTTACTTGTAAATCCCCTTTAACTTTCAACTTCCCCCCTCAGACAGTTTTAAAAAATTAAACACATTTAATACATAGTGTCTGAGGAACTTTACTGATAACAGACTGTAACAGGACATAAAAATGAAATAATAATAATAAAAACACGGTAAATTTGCTACTAACATAAAATGGAAAGAATTGAGGTACATACTGTGGGAGGAACTGGATCTTGAAAGGCAAGACTCATTTCATGACAGTAGAGGTATAGCAGCAGTCTTTCACACTTCTGTGTCAAAAAAAAAAAAAAAAAGTCCAAGTAATTTGAGAATTCTACATGGTTTATACTACAATCACAAACTACAGAAAATACAGAACAGATGCTCAGTATTCCCCCTTCCTCTTTGTGTAAACAAATATATTACACTAGATCTTGAGCCTTGAAAGAGATTCTAAAAATAGTTTTGCGTGATTCTATGCCTGCTGATCCCTTATCAGAGCATTTACAGGACTTATAACTTACATTTAACTCAAAACAGAAATTGAGCACATATAAATAATGGTGTCACAGACAGCCAGCTCTTGGAGCGTGTCCTCCACACACCCGCTCTCCCCACTGTGTCCTGCTGGGTAATGTGATTTGTCCTAAGACTAGAACACCAGGTGGGAATTGTAGGAGGAACTATCTGGATGCTCACACAATTAATGCATTCCAGAAACAGGGAAGCTGTGGTGATTGTGATTGACTTTGATACACACTGGTTTGCAAAAGGGTATAAAAAATGCTGCTGGAGACTGGACCAACCGGGCAAACTGATCTCCCAAGGTTGCAGGGAGCTTCCAGATGGATTCCACTCCAACAAGATGCCTGCAGGATACATATAGCCCTATGATGGGAAACACTCACTTTTGGACAGGTGAGTTAAAGTACTAAGATCACATACAGAGATAAAATCCTAAAGCAGCTCCATAGGTGCTTTGCTGCTTTGTAATTGTGCAAGGCCAAAGGCTCTAAACCTGCACATTTCCAACCAAACCTACTTATGTCATAACCCTTTAGACCTGCTTACATTCTATACCGCACTGGCAATATTTAGACACTGTATTAGCAATAAATCTAACCATAATCATCCACATAATCAGTGCCATACTTCTCACATTTGACCAAGACTCTTCTCTCTACCACTCTGCCATAAATGGTTCTATTTGTAGACTAAGACCCCGAAAAAACCACTAATTTCAGTGTATTTACACAAGTTGCCAACTGAAACCAAGTAAAATACTGATGAAAGTTTCTAACACAGCTCAAAACTGCTTCAGTTTAAAAAATGTTATAAATAATAATTTTATCCTTACCCTACGGTCTATTGGCGCCAAACCCACAGTGTCTTCCAATTTTCTTTTTTCAGAGCTGTGAGTAGGTTTGTCACAGTCATATTCAACTTCTGGCTTGGACAAATCCCGACAGAACGTACAGATCCACTCTCCACTAAAGAAGACAAACAGATACGATGACCTTAGTGAGGCAGCACACCCCTGCCAAAAGGCTTTCCACATATTTCTGGGTAAGATCCTCATTTGTTGGGTGTGTTTTTTTGATGTCATGTGTTGGGTTGTTGTTGTTGGTTTTTAAAACACTACAAAAAGCAGAGGCTGCTGGTAAAAATGCTTTTTTTCAACTTTTTTGTTTTCCTTTTTAGTGGCACCAGTGTCATTATTAGTGTCCTAACAGAAAGATGATTTATCTTAATAGACAGCAGGTATTGCTTTGTCAGTACTGAAATTTTTCGCTCGAGCTCAAAGGGTTCAAGCAAAGGACTATTAAGAGCTCTTTTATTATCTACAGAGAGACTGAAGGAATCATATGGGCTGAACAGAAGGAAATATGACAGTGTGATATGGTGAGAACTAGACATTATCTACAAGCCTGATCTATAACATATTACTAATCTATATAGTTTGCCCTAGACAAGATTTTTTTTAAAACTGGAAATATTTCACTCCCTAAAACCTTCAGATGTTCATGATTTTATCAGCTGGTCTAAGAAAACCATGGAGATTTAAAGGACCTACATATAGGTCCTTTATAAGATTCTTACCCAATATATATATAGGAATTATAAGACTCCTATTATAAGATACCTATTCCATATAGGAATTATAAGATTCCTACATAATCAGTTCTGCAAGCGATGTTCACTGATTCCCTAACACAATTTATGAACCTCAAAGTTTTGAAAAACCTATGAAGAGTTTATGTTTTTAATACAGTTTTCCACAAACGAGGAAACTTGCATGCTTGAAGGTAACCACAAGAGGGCTGAATTGTTACACAGAAGACAGAATACAGCAATAAAAGGGATCTAACTGTGGGTATTTACTCAGAAGTATGTTATAATAATAATATCTTTGAAAATAGGAAATAGTTTCTGCAGCACCATTTATTTCATTTGGATAGTAAGGCAGACGACTTTCTAAATTAAAAAAAAAAAAAAGAAAAAACAACAACAACCCTTTTTTATTCAGAGTGATCCAAAGATTTTCACCATCTGCCACTTTTAGCAGACACTGGTGAATAATAGGCATTTTACTACCAGGAGACATTTACCTTATACTGTCTTAACTTCCCAGAATTATTTATGACACTGTCACCTCTATGCCTGGACTAACATCACAGAAATGATGTAGCAGATACACAAAAATTCATACAGGCCATGACCTAAAGATTTTGTGCCACAAGAAAACAAAAAACTGGTTAAGGATAGAGGAATGATGCATTAAAACATCCAAGAATCAGGAAGAGTGTGGTAGGCTGGAATGAAGGACAGAAAGATGCAGCAACCTTGTGAATCTATATGGGAACATTTTTTTTAAACTAAAGGAGGGTAGATTCAGATTAGATACAAGGAAAAAAATTTTTTCAGTGAGGGTTGTGAAACACTGGGACAGGTTGCTGAGAGAGGTGGTAGAGGCCCCGTTCCTGGAAACAAGGTCAGGTTGGGCGGGGCTCTGAGCAACCTCTTCATGGCAGGGCGGTTGGACTCGGTGGCCTATAAAGGTCCCTTCCAACTTGAACCATTCTGTGATGGCATGAACCTATGAAACTGCTCTATCCACCTGAGGCAAGAACAAACAGCAATCACGAAAGAAGCAGATTATCACTGCTGACATAAAAATAAACACATTATTTTGTATGTTTGAAGGAACTAATGCTAAGTGACTGAAGTTTGTTAAGTAGAATTACAGCTGCAAAAAAGAAGTAACCCCACAAAGATGGGAACAAAAACTTGATATGTCTGAAGTCAGGAGGAAACCTCAGCTAACCATGCTCTGAAGTCCAGGAACACAAAGTACTTCTAGTAATATGCACCTTTAGAGACGTGAACGCCTGCCATGGAAGTGGGTTTGGACTCCCTTGCCCTCAGACATCATCACCTCAGTTTCCCCTCATTGATCCAGTAAAAAGGAGACATTTTAAAGACTAATTCTTGAATATTTGATTTTACCAGAAACAAAGTCTTGTAATACAGTTTTCTGCTTTTTAAAAATTTTTTTTTCTTGTCAGAATGGCACAAATATTTATTAGTTTAAGTGCTTCTGTAACTTCACTGGGTTTTGCTTACAGCATAAAGCTGTAACATAGTATCATTTTTATTAAAAAAAACTGCAATATGAAGTTCTAAAAGTGAGAGGAACATTTTTACGTGCCATTTCAAGTGACATTTCAGGTACACTCACAGGAGTGTGCTTGTTCAGAGTAGCATAGAGATGATCAATGTGCTAATCTAAGCTGCTATCCAAATGTTTTACACCAGTAAACTATGCTAATATTTATTCAAAAAACCTAATATTTTCAAAAGCATTAAACAATGAGCATGTTATGACCAATGATTTTATCCTTTAACACAAACAAGCATATTGCATGACATTTCCAAGCTGGGACATTGCAAATTGCCATTTATTTTAGTCAAAGACACTAATTCCAGAAGCAAACACTGGTAATGCTAGTTAAGACCGTATTTTGAAAGTCAAGAAACTGAGTAATGGTTTTGTAACAGCCAATAAAGAAACTTAATGCTTGTTTCAACACTGGCCGAAATGTTACTAGAATACGTCAGTCACTACACATCCCATGCTTGGACTGTAGCCCTATTTAGCACTAGAGTAAATGATATTACTATATTACTTCAGATTTTTCCTGTAGACATTTCTTATTCATTATTATTATTAAGAAATGTTAAGTATTTTCTCTCACCCTTAAAAGATTTTATGAAAGATTGGTAATTCTGTGTCCCACTTTTAATAATTCATGCCCTAGATGTAAGTGATATTGCTTAATTGTCAAGTAAGTGAAGAGTTTTATTACAGAATTTGTAGAAAAAAATACAATTGAACTGAAATTTCAATGTAAATTCCAATTTTCACCAATTAATAAAACTTGTGGATTCAAGACCTTAAAGAAGACATCGCTTCCTTTGAGACTGAAACTTCTTATCCTGGGTTTCACAAGACAAAGCTTGTGTCTTTTAGTGCAATTTTAGGCGGCATTGAAGGGGTCATAATTACCTTGGAAAGCTCATCAATGAAGGAACATGACAGGAAAGATGGAATACTTTGGGACACTTCTCACAGCAAAGGAGCTCCCCTCCATTTTGACATACAGCACACCAATCTTCATTTGGATCATCCTCTTTTCTGCCCTCCCCAACATGGGAGGGTCCTACCCATCCCGTTTTCCCACTGAATGTGTTCTCCTGCAGGACTCCTGGCTGATCATCTGTGCTGTCTGGTGCATCTGTTCTTAAGACAGCTTCATCAGAAGTGGAATTATGATTGCCATCCAACAGCAATGAGGTAAGTATGGACTGCAGGAAGAAACAAAGAAAGTCAGACTATAATATTTATTTCAATCTACATGGCCCTAACAACAAGTAAACTAACCCCAATAACAAATTTATATGCAAGCAGTCATACAACTTGCAACATGTATGGAAAAAACTACTAACATACTATAACATCAGACAGCTGAACATAAGACATGAACTATGAAAGGTTATTTACTGCTCCACTAATAAACAACTAATCTTTGATGGCCCAAAAATCTAGCAACCTTATTTATGTATATTACTGCACTACAGTTAGAAACATTTCCTAGTGGCACCTGAAAATATGATCTCTGCAAGCTATTTCTCATCTTCCTAGATTTTCAAGGGATAAAAGTAGTCTCATCACGACAGTTACATCAACTGGCAGTAGGGCTAGTCTGATTTTGAATTTCACCTCTTCCCCTTATTTTGTTTTTTTTAGTTTTCCCCTGAAAAGTTCCCAACAGAACACAAGTAGATTATTATACTCCCCATAAATACAAAATACTCTCCAAAAAGAAAGGAGATCTTTATAGTTGTTATTATTACATTCCGAGGCCGGGGTTCCTCATCGGTTTCTTGCTTCACTACAACAACTGGGAAATCAAAGTTCTCATTTGGTGCATTTGACTCCTGTTTAATTCTAATGGGTTCCAACATAACAACTGGGACTTTGTGTGTCGAATCAGCTCCTGGTGGTCTGCTGGAGGAGCCAGAACTGTAAATGACAGGAAAAGGTAAGAAAAAGGGGAAATTAAGAGTCAGAACTTTTGTACACTGGTGCTTTCCAAGCAGGATGTTAAATCTATTTTGCTTCTTCGAATCTTGAGCATTGCAGAATTCCTTTTATTGAATACACCATCCAAGCTTATTTCCTTCGATATATATTGAAAAGCATTACCAAAAGGGAAAATTTTAATGGTGCAGTTCCAGAATTAGAGAATTACTCATGGTTTGACTTCCCATTAGTGCAAGATTTGCAAGTAATCTCCTTTTCTTTCAGGTTACACACAAAAGAGGACTTCCACTGAACATCATACCACTTTGGAAGAGATGCAGCTGTATTTTGGGGAAGACCAGTGTTTCTCCAGAGCTGAACTGATCATTGAAAATGACACAACCAAATAAGGCAAATAAAACACGTATTTACATTTTCTTAGAAGGATTTCTTACAGCCTTGCAGCTCTACCAAAACTAGGGCCCTGCTTTTGGAACTAAATCTTTTCTTTTTCCATGTATTTAGTCATAAAAATGAAGAATTTGAAATCTAACAACATTAATTCAAGCAGTTGCAGATTTTTTTAAATGCACGTAGATGACTCTTCAGACAAACATTTAAACTGTTCATAAGAGTCCTTCACAGAATTTGCCATGTAAATGGAATACAGAAAAATCTATTCTATATTAAAAAGCACCTGCATTTCCAACTCAAGTAGGATGAATGTCATCTGATTTTTCTCTGCATGAAAAATTAATCTCATGGCAGATGTATGCTTGAGTTTATTGCAACACATTAATGGATCTGCACTCTTCAAATAACATTGTGTAAATATATTTGTTCATTAATATTCCATCAGTAATGGATAAAAACATTTGTGTAGACTCTCAATAGATATCTAGTGCTCACTTAACAAACTGTATTGCAGCAGAAAACTCTTTAACAGCCCTCTTTGTAACATCAATTCCTTAAATCTGAAGTAATTTATAGTTCCATCAGGACTTTCAATATTCAACCTTTTCCTTTAGTTGATTTTTCTGAATTTAAAACCTAATTTACAATTGGTATTCTTTTAATAACACCAACCTAGCCATCATCTACAGTGTTAATACATTTTTAGATGTGCTATTAATACATTACATATGAAATTACTGCTTTTAGAATGCAAAGAGTGCTGTAATAACCATCAGGCCTGACCTGTTAACAGAGAAGGTGAGGCAAATTGACATCTATATATGCATTAAAGAGAGAAGAGACTGAGGCATGTTCTGTGGAGGTGGAAGTTACATTTTCTTCTCTCCCACTCTTCCCTTACCTCTCTCTGCTCCCTACACTGGAGGCGCTGGGTGAACGAACTGGAGGGTGTACATTCGTCACACTGATTCCTCCTAGGATAGAAGGACCAGGTTAGATCAAAACATGGGTCTGTGCCACGTCTGAGTCAGAGATGTACACAGGTTTTGGGGAAAATTTCTCCTGCAGCATCATTTATTTAACCTATATCTCATTTAACATATATTTATGAAAGGATGAGAGGCATGGGATAATACAGGGAAGGAGATGCCTAAGAAGGGACCCATAAGTAGGCTGATGGGTCAGTACCTTTGCCTGGCTGACCCCCCCACCTGATCACTGCAGCTTGTTTTGTCTTACCTTATCAAATTCTAGCAGATCTCTCTGGAGAACTGCCAGGAAACTTTGAGCTGGTGAGTAGGAATAATATCTGGCGGACAGATATGAGAGAGACCAAAGGTCTGGGGACCAGGACCAGAGAGCCAAAAGACTCATGAAGGAGATTTTTGCTGAAGACTTGTGAAGGAGATTTTTGCTGAGTATCAGTCCTGAGAAACCCAAGTGGGCTGTTTGTGCTGTCTGTGAATGCACTACCCACCTGTCTCAGGTAACCTGCCTGGGTCTGTGAATGTCACGTGAGTGCATGAATGTTGCATGAGTGCTCACTGGGAACTCACTCACACAGCCTTGCATTGCTACAGGTCAGATCAGAAAATCGGAATTGCTGCTGATGGTCACCAGGCATGGTGACAGGAATCCCCTGCATCCTTTAGGTCTGCCACATTTAGCCACACATCACCACAACTCCTCTGCTCAACCTGTGTCAGTGCTGCACTATCCTTCTGTGAAAAACATATTCTAATATCCAAATAGAACTTCCCCAAGTTACCATTTCTAGTCTCCTGTTACATCCTATCTTGCTTTTTTAAATACTTAACTCTTAGCACAGTTGCTAGGTTTTCATTTGGTGTACACCTGAGAGTGTCACTTTTCTACAGATTTCTATCCAATGTGCTAAAATCTATAGGCTTTTTACCCTCCATATTTGTAAGATATGGTCTCCTAACTTTTGTTCACAATGCTAAAATATTGTTTCAACTTTACCTCCTACTAGGGTTTCTACAACTTTGCCTCATTTTCTTATTTCTAATCTTTGATATATAAAAGAAATAATTAATTCTGATATCAGTGTTAACACTGCCAGCCACATTAGACTTTTCAATTACACCACTTAAACAGAAAACTGCACTGCATTTCAATTACCTGAGAGGCCTGGTGATGGCACCGAGGAATTTGGTGACTGCACAGTCCTGTTTGAAGGTGGTTTTGGCTGATTCTGCTCTGCAGTGCCATCCTTCCTTACAGCATTGTCCAGTGTGATGTTTCCCGAACAATCAATCTAAAAGGTGGGGAAGTGAGGGGAAGCAGTTAGTGTTGGAAGGAGAAAAAAACCCTCTCCAAAACAACAAAAACCTGTGCTTCTGATATAGTGTTATTTTGAAGGTGAAGACCAAAATGTATTTCAACTAACTTTAACCATCCAAAACTGAGACAGTTACTTTAAAACAGGTCATCTTGCTTTCTCTAAAAAGGAAATGAAATAGTCAAGTCCAGACAGTGCTTCATTTTAAGATCAGATGATTCTGTAAGTACCAATTTTTGTCGACCGGCTTCAGAGAAGGCTGTATCAGCTTTCACACAATTCAGAGATTATTTTTTATCTCCATACCTTCTTTGGAGACACTCAGATTATATATTCTAAAAAAGATAATAAGCTATACACAAACTACCCATTAATCCACTTGTGTTTAGGACTGGAAGAACTTCAAGTGACATTCAATCCCATCTGTCCCACGTACCTTCTGGACAGAGGCCATGCATATTGTCTCAAAATGCAAACAGCAACCAACACTTGTTCTTTCCACATATGGCTTAGGCCAGATAACTGAACTTTATTTAGGGGCTCCTAATTTATCATTTTAATTTTCTGTAAAAATTACATATTCTGGTTTGATAATGAGGAATTACTTTCTGAACTGTTTGATTTCTTCCAGTATGTAGAGATAACGTTTGATAAGAAAACACCTCACCTTGATATCAGTTTTCTCAGTAGATACCTCACAAATCTACTGGTTTCAAACACACTGACCACTGAAATTTCTATTTGTGAGCTAGAAGTATCCCAAGTGGATGCAGAAGCCTTGACAAGGTTTATTTACAGTGATTTGGGTCATGTATCTTAAGACCACAAATGCAACCATATAAAAGTAGAAGAGTTCATAATACAGTGAAAAAAAAATAAGCATGCTAAAATGTCTCACAGACTCAGTAGTTTTATGACCATGTTGTGTAGTTCACCTTTTGAACCTGACAGACACTGTGACCCTGTACTCTATGTACTCCATTTTAATAAACAGAACACAGTTTATCAGCGAGGACAAAGCACAGGTGAGAGAAACAGGAAAGGAACAGCAAGTTACCATTGGAAAACCATGGCATTTCAGATATCTACAAACCTTAGACCACAAAAAACAGGTTTGGCAATATTTGAAAGAATAAAAGTCAACGGACTAAAACTCAACAGTTCCAACATGGAACTCTGACAAATATGTACCATTCAGAAAAACTATCACAGAGAAGTTTAAGAAAAGATGACCTTACAGCGCTCCTTCTATCACCAGCTCATAGGCATGTCAAAGGATGTAAGAAGAAAAGAAGTACCAAAAAGAAAAGATAGAAGGAATATATCCAGTATGCCAACCATTAATACTTTCCCAAGATAGCTCTTTCAATTAGTTAAAAATATATTTTAAATATGTTGACCATTTACCAGAAATACCATCAGCAAACTGGTGCTATCGGTGGACACTGGTAAATGAAAACTAAGCTAACACATTTTTGTTAGTATCATTACAGGGGGAGGGAAAAAATATACAGCATCCAAATAAACAGATCCAATTACAATTACAAACCCTAACGTTATTTTTCTTAGCTGTCTTCCAAGAATAGCTCTGAATATTTCCAGCAATACCGTATTGTTTTTTCCTCTACCTGCCTCATTTTGACAAACAGAGCAAGGATTTCAGTTTATATGGTTTCTACTTCTCACAAACATTAAGACCTACTTCAAAATAGAATCAATCCATCAAACATTGATTCTGTGTTACACTTACATCAGGGAGAGATGGCAGATTATAGGAGCTACCCACTGGGGAACTCAAATCTATCACAGGGGGACCATATGTCTTCCCATCATATCCAACAGCACTGGTGACTGTAGGGCTTGATGGAGTCGATGTTGTGCTGCTTGCAGTTGTAAGGGCTGTTGAAGTTTGTCCACTACTGATCTGCCACTAAAAAAAAGACAATAATCCACAATTAAGCATTATTTTCTTTGCAACAGGTCACATCTACTGAATATACCGATAGAACAAGCAGCTTAGTTCAGGAAGCTGAATTCAAACATGAAATCCTGATGTACTCTGAAGTTAGCTCATTTCAAGAACCAATCTTACAAGACAAGGAAGGGAAGATGACAAGTAGCTGAAAACCATGAATAGAAGAAATGAATGCAAATTCTTAAATTCCAAGTTATACCTCAATGCTAAGTATCTATTAATATTTCATGCTGCATTGACAGTGTTGTGGGAAAAATGTAACAATTTTTTATGGAAAAGAAAGCATTGCAAGTAATAGGCTGAATGCACAACTGCTCCAGCATTTTACTAAGTAAACAACTATAGTGTTAGTGATTAAGAATTTGAAATGCTGACTGGATCTCTAACCACAGATACATTTAACAACATGATATAAAGTGCACTGTCAATTCAGACTAAATTTCTTTCTCATTTGGATGTATGCAGTTTTCAATGACTTTTAACAGAATTTCATGGCTACCCATGGAAGGTAAAATTTTACTTCCCTCAATTCCTTTTTAGTCATTCTATTTACTGGTCTCCGGTTTCAGAAAGGCATTACCTTTCTGACAATGAGATAATGGGAATTCTTTAAAATCTTGCAGACAGGCGAATTTTATTTTCAGAGGCACAGAATAGAAGTGACTTAGTTTTTGTTCCTACAGATTCTTTTAGATATTGTACAGCTTTCTTCAACTTAGTTGGAATTAGTTCTCTGACATCATAAGCATTGCAAACATGAATGGTATCCATTCTTCAGGTCAGAGATTTGCTTACCTCTAGTGGCATGATTTTCTCTTTCCTTCCATGTACCTAAAACTCTTGTGTCAATATGCTGTTTAATAAAGATGAGCCTTTCTGAGCATCCAGAAAACATATTATGTGGTTTTACTTCTGTGCCAGTTCAGCTGCTGATTAGCTGGGCATTGATCAGTCTTACTCAGCAGAGGTGACACAACTGTGGTCTGTCTCTCCTCTCCTCACCTGTACAAGTTCAGATTTGCCATACTAGTGGCAGCTTTAGATTTTTTGTCAAGGTTTTACCTGGTTCCTGGTGAAGTCACTAACATCAGGCGCAACTGGGATTTTCTTTTTTGTCTATTCACTGATTGTAGTGTGCAGACCATGGCCATGCTAAGTTTTGCACAAGAAGTCAGAAACCACAGTAATAGCAAACAAGAGAACAAAACACCTACACAGCACACCCAGTGGATCACTTCCATAATGCTTCAGCTGCTTAGAACTGTCAAAGTGAAAGAAACTTGACAGTTTCCTCATTAAGAAAACTGTGGGTATCTTGTCACAGGGAGAAAAATTCAGTCTCTGTTCTAATTGAAAAGCACTCTAGAAACACAGTATGAAAGATGATAAGAAGCACATTTGATGTTTTATTTCTACATGGCGAGTGAAAAGGGAAAGAACCTCTACCTGTTTTATGGCTTGCTGTGCCAAGAATGCCATTTGCAATGGGCTGGGCTTTACTGCTTGCCTTGGTATGTTCTGATTTTGGGGAAATCTCATCTGTTGTGCAGGAAGAACTGAACCATTGGGCTTGGGGCTTTGATTCTGAAAATGAATCAAGCGCGGAGGTGCCTGCATAAAAACACAAAACCAGTTCTGCAAGTTAGCTGACATCTATTCAATGTTCCAGACATTTTTTTACTAAGTGGTCCTTTTGAACCTCTGCAACTCTTCACAAATTATATGCAAACAAATAGTATCACACTATATATCTAAATGATCACAGAACACATTGATTTTTAATGTTAAAACCAAAACCTAGCAGATAGTTTTGAATTATTCTGATGTAATAAAGGAAGATAGATCACAAGAGCCAGT